TCAGAAGCAGCCAGAGGCTGTCTCCTGGTGAGGCTGCAATGCGTTTCACTAAGCAGACATCACCTTGGGCAGCAGGCCCATTTGGTTGTCATGGCAATGTGGGTAGTTTGTGTCATGGGGTGTGCTGTGCCTTCATTCTAGACTCCCAAGGCCCCTTGCCCCAGCTTTCTTTCCCAGACCCTTTCAACAGACTCCCAGCTTCCCGGCACCACCTCCACATTCACTGTTGTTCAGTTTGGGGTAGCTTTGTCTTGATCAGTCAAAAAAAGAAAGAAAAAAGAAAAAGCTTAACTTAACTTTCAAAGGATTAGATCAAGCCCATTCCTCTCCACAAAATATTCCAGCCTCCCATCCCTCTCAAAGCCAGTGTCCTTAACACGGCTCACAAGATCCTCCAGGGTCTGGCCTCAGTGAAAGCCTTAGTGTCTTCCCCAGGTGCTGGCCTTTGAGGTCTGCCCTTTAATAACCGAAATCCGTGACCTGTGCCCCGATCCCACATGGCCTTCTCATTATTCTCAGACGCAGCGAGCAGGCTCACACCCTTTGCACTTACTGTTGTACACTCTGTACCCCGATTTCCGCATGCCTGTTCCCTCCCTCCATTCAGGCCACTGTTCAAATGTCTCCTCCTTAGAGGCCCTCACCCACTCTACCTACATGGCAGTCCTCCACCCTGTCATCCTCTTTCTACCTCATAGCACCTTCCAATCCCGGACATGATGTTGCAGACTCCATTGTCTGTTGTTTTAGTGTCTGTCTTCCCCACTGGAATCCTCCTAAACAGGGGCAGGCACATAGTCAACGCTTGATCCACATTTGTTAAATAAGCGGATGAGTGACTAGACGTGGATCCAAAGCCTGGTACTGCTATTTGGGAGCTTTGTGGCATCACACAAGCCACCTCGTCACCCTGAGCCTGGTCTTCCTGACCACGAAGCAGAGGCAATCCTGTCTGCCAACTGGGGTGGTGAGAATGAAAGCGGTGTTGCATGGGGACTGGGCTCTGCGACTCCTCGGATGGCACTGACATCACCATGCCGTGCTTGTGTCAGCTGCACTCAGAATGTGCTTTTTGCCTAAGGCTCCTGAACACCCCACACACTTCCAGGGCGCCTGCAACTCTATGACCTACTGGGGAACCTGCAAGATGCCCAAGGAAAAGACAACCAGCCATGGGGCAAGCCTTGTACAGAGGGGCTGTGCATTCACATGGGGTAACTGCAGCCTTTATATGCAAGACTGGTCCACCCCAGCCATCCCTGCTACCTTCTGCTGTCTCTTCACGAAGTCCTGGAGACCACCTCTGCTGGCCAGATGAGATGGCCCTTTGTGAGTCCAGCAGCCTCTCACACTTTGGGCTTGCAGCAGGACGCCCAGCCAGTCACCACAGAGGGGGGCTTCGCTGAATTTCTCCGGGTGTCCTTGGGATGGACAAAAATGTTAAAAGGAAGAAAGAGATTCATAGTGTTACTTTTTTTAGCAGGCTGGAAGATACCTGGGCCCATTTATGAAACTTTTTAAAAAGGAAATAGTTCGTCTATTGAACTGCCACTGTCAGTTTCATGTTAAGATACTTCCTTCAGTTTATCATGTCTGACGACTTGCAAAGAAGACAAGGCCAGGAAACATGCGACACACTGAGTGCACCCTGTACATGGAGTCTGAACACAGCACTGGGGGAAGATGCTCAGAGCAGAAGGACCCCAGTCCCTGCCCTTGAGGGCTTCCTGTGCCTGAGACTTGGGGGGCTACGGATGATGTGGACAGGCGGGCTGCCTCATCTGAGCCAATAAATTGCACCAACACGGATAACAGTGTGGTCTTCAGGTGGGATGTGAATGGGATCTGCAGCTCCTGTGTTTAGATGATGAAATAAGACACTTGCTCTCTCTGTCAATTTAAAGTTGACAATTGACACAAGGAAAAGAGGGTCACTGGCACCTGGAAGATGATGGACAGAATCATGATCCAGTTAGCATAGTTATCAATAAGCTAATGACATAAAAGACACATGTAACAAATGGGTAAGGGAGTCAAAGGGAAGAATAATAGCGTGACAGAATAAGGACCTCTCAGCAGGCTAGGCTGCCAATAAATGTGAAGTGTTGCTTTTGGGATCAAAAGGACAATCACACTGAAACAGGATGCATGTTGACAATCACTTATTTTTAAAAAATGCAAGTTTTAAAACTGACCACAAGCTTAACAGGGGCCAACCACGACAGAGTTGCTAAAAATCACAAGCAGGCTGGTGGTGGTGGCTCACGCCTGAAATCCCAGCACTTTGGGAGGCCAAGGTGGGTAGATCACGAGGTTGTGAGTTCAAGACCAGCCTGGCCAATATGGTGAAATCCCATCTCTACTAAAAACACAAAAGTTAGCTGGGTATGTTGACAGGTGCCTGTAGTCCCAACTTCTTGGGAGGATAAAGCAGAAGAATCACTTGAACCTGGGGGGTGGAGGTTGCAGTGAGCCGAGATTGCACCACTGTACTCTACCCTGAGTGACAGAGTGAGACTTCATCTCAAAAAAATCACTAGCAGTTGGTAGTTCATGCCTGTAATACCAGCACTTTGGGAGGCTGAGGGGGGCAGATACAAGGTCAGGAGTTTGAGACCAGCCTGGCCAATATGGTGAAACCCCATCTCTACTAAAATTACAAAAATTGGCCAGGTATGGTGGTAGGTGCCTATAGTCTCAGCTACTCAGAAGGCTGAGGCAGGAGAATCATTTGAACCTGGGAGGTGGAGGTTGCAGTGAGCCAAGATTGTGCCACTGCACTCCAGCCTGGTGACAGAGGCTCCATCTCAAAAGAAAGAAAATAAAAATCACAAGCTGTGCTGGGGAGGCTGTCTGATAGAAACATTTAGCTCCTTGGAATCAGAAAAAAACAAATGGGTTCAAATCTCAGCTCTGCTATTTACTAACTATGTAACCTTAGGTTATCCATAGCCCTCTCTGAGACTAAGAATCTAGCTGAAAGGTGATGGCAACGCCATCCTTAAAGGGTTATTTTGAAAATTAGTAATAGGGTACATAAAGGACCAAGCCCAGTGCGTGGTAGAATTTGGCAGATCTTAGCACATAGAAAGCTCCCAATAAATGGTCATTGCTGGTAATTCACCTGCTACAAAAATGTAGAGCTTAAATTTTTTAAAGGTAAGAGAAGTCCTTCTCTATTCTGTGCCTTTCAGGCCCATGGAAGTATTATTTCCAGACCTAAGATAAATGGGAAAGTAACCAGGTCATTGAGACTTCAGGTGAGGGTAGAGCAGAGTCAGTCTAAGAAAAAAAAAAGAGTTTCAAACACGTGGCATTTTGATGTTGTTGTTCAGATATTTAAGGGACCATCAGACTAAGAAAGATATGCTATGCTGCTCCAAAGAGCCAAAGTAGCGGTGAAAAGAAGTTAGTGGGAAATGTCTTGGCTTAAAGTAGGAGGAAACAGAGCTGTCCACCATGAAATGTGCTATCCTGCAAAGTCGTGAGCTCCTCATCCCTGGAAGTATTAGAGCAGAAAGTAGTTGACACTCTGTCAGAAACATTATAGACGGGATTTCCATAGAAACTAAGGTAATGTAATCAAACATGTTAATAATAATTGAGACTGTTTATAACTTCAAACTCTTTCTCCGGCTTCACCTTGGCTTCGTCCATGAGCAGCTGCAAGTGCTCGATCTCCACCTGCAGGGCTTTCAGGCGAGTGAACACTGTTCTATACCCGCGGTGGAATCAGAGAAGAGTCAGTGCACCGCTGTCTTGAAAGCGTGGCATGGAGGGAGGGCTGTAAACGACTGACCACATTTATTGTTTCTCTTATCACAGAGTCTCATATATGTGAATATTAATTATAGACATTTTACTATGCAGAAAAACAGGAAGAAGCAAGTAAAAATCACCATAATTCCTCTACTTAAATGTAATTGATATTAACATATTTGATTCTATTAGTTTATAATAATTGGTATTATTTATTGAAATGTGATAGAAGGGATGTCAGAAATGTTGCAGAAGGAATCCAAGGTTCCTGAAGTTAGCCACGTAACTTGGGCAGTTCACCCTCTTTGAACTTCAGTGTTCTTATCTGTAAAATGGGAATAATGACACTTATCTCAAATAAATACTATAAGGATTAAGTCTGAGCATGTCTGGAAGCACATGGATGGTAGCAGAGTCTCCCCTACATGGAGTAAAAAGCAGGGCTGTATGACTTCTAAGATGTTGTCTGTGGAGCTCAGAAAAGCAGGGCAACCACGAAGAGACTCCTAGGAGAATAAAAAGTCCCCATATTCTGGGCTAGGAGAGAGCCGGCTTCAGATGAGCACGCTAGCCAGAGTAGGCAACCAGGCAACCAGGCAACCAGCGGCAGTCATGTGCAGGAAGACAGAGGTTGCCGTAAGTGGGGACGCAGACGCACACAGCAGCTGATCCCTGCTGACTTGCTCAGCCTTGCACCGGGCCTCATTGTGGTCCTGTCGCCAAGGCTTGGGCTCAGCCTTGGTTGTGAATTGACATAGCCTGCCCTCATCAGGCATGAGGACCACTGCAGCAGGGGGAGTGAGAAACAGGAGACACGATTCTGAGGCTGGAAATTCAGCACCTCCACTTGGGCAGAGAAAGATGTCAGATGGTTTAGAGAAGTTTCCTTGTTTGTGAAGGGCTCTTTATCAGAGGACAGGGAAATGCTATTTTTGCATCTTCCCTGGAGACTCGAGGAAATGAGTGAGCTCAATAGTAAAAGGATTAGTAGAGACGGAGGCAGAATTCCCTTCTAGTGACAGATGTTGGCAGTGAGAGGGACAGCAGAGAGAGATTAACCCAGGAAGCCGCTCCCCTCAGGGCTTCCAGCTGAGCAGAGGTTGCCACCAAGAGGCCTCAGAAGGAACTCACAGGGGCCCCTTTCTTCTTGGAGTGCTCTTGAAGTCTGTCATCTGCCCTAAATACACACTTTTCCTTTTACCTTTCTTTTTCACCGTCCCATCGGCACCTTCCTTCTACAGGAATCTCAGAAAACATGGCCGTGCCTCCCATGCCAGACCAGCAGGAGGAGAAGCTGCGATCACAACTGGAGGAAGAAAAGAGAAGGTGCCCTTCCTTTTGGCCACTCACAGCCCCACCCCAGCCTCCCAGGGTCTCAGTGTTGTCCTGGAGCTGCCCAGGGCAGGACAGAGCAGAGTGGCCAACTCCTAGCCCAGGACTGGAGCTACTCAGGGACATGGGTCCAGCAGCTGTCTCCTAAAATAGCAGGAAGAGGAGGAGCTGCCTTTGAGCAGGCAGGTGGGAAAGGCAAGAACCCAGGCAGTGTGAGGTTAGAATGCAGGACTAGCCAAGCCAGGCCCGGGAAGCAGCTGGGCTTGTCCACTGCTTCCACCTAGAGGAGCCAAGAAGTATGACCACGGTGGTCTTCACAGGCCTGTGGCTGAAGCCCACTCCCTTCCGGAGTCCTAAGAATGTCATACTCTCAACGCAGCTGCAGGCATTTGGGGTCGCAGCGTGGTTACCAGATCTTGCCCCACATGCCGGTCAAGCTGCATCCATTCATCCATTTGTGCATTCAGCACATACATGCTGTCTCCCCCATGCCATGGTAGGGTAGGTTCTGGAGAGACTAAAGTCACCTTCCCTTCACAGGGAGCTGGTGGTGTCACTGCAGCATATTTCCTGCCCCACCCCAATCTCCAGGTGACCTGGCATGCACCCCTCCCCTCCCTGCACTCGCACGCACACCCAGGCCATCAAAGCCCCAGGCACTGGTCTTCAGGTCGCTCCTGGCAGGTGTGCACGTATCTTCCTACAGAAGGCCCTGACTACCCGAGCACACATGCCTCTGTCACTCTCCACTCCCTTGGGATCTCCCCAGTCATCCATTTTCTCCCTCACTCTGTTCATTTTCCTCAGTTTCTTTCCAACCCATTCATTTTTTCTTTTTTGAGATGGAGTCTCACTTTGTTTCCCAGGTTGGAGTGTAACGGTGTGATCACGGCTCACTGCAACCTCCACCTCCCAGGTTCAAGCAATTCCCCTGCCTCAGCCTCCAGAATAGCTGGGATTACAGGCATGTGCCACCACACCTGGCTAATTTTGTTTGTTTTTTTTTTTTTCTTTTTTGAGACGGAGTTTCACTCTTGTTACCCAGGCTGGAGTGCAATGGCGCAATAACAGCTCATTGCAACCTCCACCTTCTCGGTTCAAGCAATTCTCCTGCCTCAGCCTCCCGAGTAGCTGGGATTACAGGCACATGCCACCATGCCCAGCTAATTTTTGTAGTTTTAGTAGAGACGGGGTTTCACAATGTAGGCTCAGGCTGGTCTCAAACTCCTGAGCTCAGGTGATCTACCCGCCTCAGCCTCCCTAAGTGCTGGGATTACAGGCGTGCGCCACCGCACCCAGCCTCCCACCCATTCTCCTTGTGTCTTTACTCCATCTTCATATTGTCCCCTTGGCCCACATTTCCAATCTCAGAGTCGCCTTAGAGGCCAACTTATCTCTTTGGCCTGGCTATTGGACTGCTTCCTGTTGGACAATTTCTAATTCATTATAGCATTCCCAAAACCAATATATGTGTGCATTCATAAGCACAATGCTACTTTTAGTCCTCAGCATGAAGGTGAGCCAGCAAAACAGTGAGGCAGTTAAGACTGTGGTTCTAGAATCAGACCACCTGGGTTCAAATCCTGGCTTCTCAGTTATCTCTCTCCCATAGAGCAAGTTATATAACTTCTCCATACCTGCCTCAGGTTCCAAATCTGTAAAATGGAGGTGATAACAACAGTGCCTCCTTCCTAGGGTTGTGAAGAGGATTAAAGAGTTTCTGTATGTTGAGTGCCTACAGCAATGCTTATCTCTTAGTAAGTGAATGGCAGTTTTCGTTCTTGGGGGAGAAGTTATTCATCTCACACATACAGTCACATGGGCCTACTGGACAAAAATGTCTCCCTCTGTTTCATCTTTGCTGTGATGGACTCAAATCCTGGCACCATATCCTGGCCTCAGAAGCTCCTATAAGGTCCCAGTCCCTGGGCCCCAGGGCAGCTCTACCAGGATTCTAAGGCACAGGCCCCATTCATTTACAGCCCTCCCTCCATGCCATGCTTTCAAGACAACGGTGCACTGACTCTTCTCCGATTCCACCCCAGGTATAAAACAATGTTCACTCGCCTGAAAGCCCTGAAGGTGGAGATCGAGCACTTGCAGCTGCTCATGGACAAAGCCAAGGTGAAGCTACAGAAAGAGTTTGAAGTCTGGTGGGCAGAGGAGGCCGCCAACCTGCAGGTATGGTCTGGGGATCATCAGGGAAGCTGGGGAGGGGCCAGTCATGCAGTCCCATTGAGGCTGTCAAGAGGCAGAGTGGGGCCTTTGAGCCACGGGCCTTCATGCTCTCAGCCCCTGCTCATGAAGCAGGTGCTCACTGTAGTAACAAGGATGACAAAAGGTCAGGAGTTCATTGTTTCCTTGCTCTCATGCCTGAAATTCTGCCTGATTAGTGGAAAAATTAGGGATGGAAGATGCAGTTCCCAAAAACCTGTGGGTTAGCCACCAATGCTTTGTGTGGTATTCTCCTAATGACAGCATTTATTGTTTTTCTTATTACAGAGTCATATACAATGTGAATATTAATTATAGAAATTTTACTATGCAGAAAAACACAACAGAGAAAGTAAAAATTACCGTAATTACTCTACTTAACTGTAACTGATATTAACACGTTTGATTGTATTATTTTACTTTGACTTCTATGCATACATATCCATATGGTTTTATACAAATAGAATCAGGCTGGGCACGGTGGCTCATGCCTGTAATCCCAGCACTTTGGAAGGCCACAGCAGAAGCATCACTTGAGCCCAGGAGTTCGGACCAGCCTGGGTAACATGGCGAGCCCTGTCTCTACCAAAATAAAAATAAAAATAATTAGCCAAGCTTGGTAGTATTTGCCTGTAGCCTCAGCTACCTGGGAGGCTGAGATGTGAAGAGTGCTTGAGCCTGGGAGGTCAAGGCTGCAGTGAGCAGTGATCGACCCACTGCACTCCAGCCTGGGTGACTGAGCAAGGCTCTGTCTCCAAAATAATAATAATAAATAAATAAATAAACAAATAAATAAATCATATAACTGTTCAAGTATTGCAAATGGCTTTTAAAAAATTAATTGTATAGCATGGCTATTTTTTCATGTTATTGTCCTACAACGTTGTTTTAATGGCTGTTACTGTTCCATCACATAAATATGTTGTAATCTCCTATCATTGAATATTTAGGTTGTTTCTGATTTGTTGCCCAAAGCATATTTGTAGATAAATTTTTGCATATTTCCTAGACAAATTCTTAGAAGTTTTCTGTATGACAAAAGCTAAAGTAACCTGTCCATAAGTGTTAGCATAGAATCCCCGTTTCAGTTGTCCTCATGTAACACCTCAGTTGTGGCACAGTGGAAGTGCTGAAATACACACAGTCAGATCAGGTGTCCGACTGGCAGAACCCTTAGTGATTATCTAACAGGCTGATCCCTTCGTTTTAAGGACAAGAAAGCTGAGAGTCAGAAGATGATTTTCCAAGGACACAGCCAAACAATAACCAGTGTGATATCAAGTGGCCATGTGACAGGACAATAGAGAAGAATATCTGGATAAAATTAAATGCATGAGATAACAAAGAAAACTGGTTAGAATAAATACAGTTATCAAAACATTTTGAGCTATGGTATAGTAATACGTGTACTACTTTTAAAATGCATGAATTAGTAAGATCTACGTATGGGCCCAATATTTATCATAACTTCAAAATAATGATGAAATGACACAATACTTCACGATCTCTGCACAACTGTCAGGTGATATGAAAATATGCATGATTTCTGTTGGTCACAAAGTCACAGGTATTCTTAGTACTTCTGTGGTTTGTTGTCTACATTTATCACTGAAGGAAATACTTAATTTCAGGTAGCAGCTAGGGAAGATAAAGATGTGATTGGTTCCCATCCACATTGGCAGAGCCCCTGGATTCTGTTTGTGGACCCCAGGTTAAAAGCCCTTCCCAGCAAGTTCATCAGTGACTGAGGCCTTCCCCAGCTGGTGCCCGAGGGAGTCTAGCACTGACCGGTCGACAAGGGTCATCCAGTGCAACTCAGGAAGTGTCCAGGCAAAGCTGGCATATTCAGACAGTGTAAGACTCACAGAGACAGCGGAAGCCAGAGTAGGCAAGGTGTCAGCTCCATGTGTCCCTTGCCCCACCAGATGTCACTGAAGCACAGGGACCAGATGACAGCAAGGGGGATGGTGGGATACTCTGGTGCAGAGGGGCCAACTCCATGCTGCCCTGAGCAGTTCTATAGCCTCAGCTGTACCCTGAGCGGGCAGAGGCAGAAAGCTCCAGACCTCATCAGAACAAGAGAGGTGACAAGAAACCTCTAGGATAGCCTTCTGAGAAGACAGGGAAGCAAGTGGAAAATAACCTAGCAGCAACCACGCAAACTTCCTGTATACACTCACATTCCAGGAGGCTTACAGGGCATTCTGCCAAGACTCAGACCAGCTGTGATTTATGCCTTGCTCTTCAGGCCTGTGTGGGGACATGCATGGCAGAGCACCATAGCCGAGCTGTTTCCCCACACGAAGCGCTCAGTGTGCGTCTCCTGACTTTAGTAGGGGGTCTTTGGGGCAAGGAGAAGCAAAACCAGAAAATATTTTTGAAGAATGAAGATTACATTTTAAACATTTTTTTTCTATCTTTAAAAGGAATACGTTTTCAACTTGGAAAACTTGGAAAGAACAGAAAAGCATAAAGAATAAATTAAACATTTCTCATAATTCTATCATCCCAAGACAATATGTTGAGGCCCATCATTGTGGTCATTGCTGTGTCTGGGTTTGGTTTTGGCCGTACATATTGCGTACACTACCTTTTATAGCTGGCTTACTCCCCTTAAGAATTACATCAAGGTCGGACACAGTGGCCCACGCCTGTAATCCTAACACTTTGGGAGGCCGAGGCTGGTGGATCACCTGAGGTCAGGAATTTGAGACCAGCCAGGCCAACATGACGAAACCCCATCTCTACTAAAAATACAAATATTAGCCAGGTGCGGTTGCACAGGCCTGGTAGTCCCAGCTACTCAGGCGGCTAGCAGGAGAATCGCTTGAACTCAGGAAGCAGAGGCTGCAGTGAGCTGAGATCATGTCACTGCACTCCAGCCCGGATGACAGAGCATAGATGCCACAAAGTAGTTGTGTCACGGAAGAAAGTGCTTAGGGAAGATTCTTACAGGAGCTCTAATGATTGCTTGTCCTCACTTCCTGGGACCCTGGCATGCTCTGCCCTCTACCTGTGGAAGATGGTTACAGTAGTGACAGAGCTGGTCCAATGCTTTCACCTCCATCAATGAGATTTTCTTCTGGACATGCGTGCATGTGTGGCTCACATTTTGCTACTCTTACATGGTGTCAGAGCAAGAAACTTAAATGTACTACTGCCTTCTAGAAATGGCTGTGGCGCTAGGGAGGTTATCTTTCTGGCTCTTCCTATTCTGTTTGCGAGGAGAAAACATCCCTTAACATCTGGATATTGAAACTGCACTGAAGAGCAGTCAAGTGGAAAGTCAGAGGTCACTTGGCTGTAATTGGAGGAGCAGGGGTGTACAGCTCTCTCCCTGTGAACACTAGAGCCGCTCTGGCCACTCATCCCACCGTACTGAATACAGCATGGAGGAAGAACTGTTGGAAGAAAGAATACCCTAGTTATTGAACAAGACCATATCTGATTCATCTTGCGGGGTGCTGATCCAGTGGAGTGTTGGCCACTGAGAACTCCATGTTATAAGGATACTCGTTCAGTATTAAAAATGGCTGTCATTAATTGCTTCTGTGGATCATAAACTCTACTGAGGGACTTTGAAAATTCTTCCCTCCCCCCACCCTCATAATGACCCTCTGAGATAGATTATGGCGCTGATGATATATATGGTGATGCCCATTTTAGAGGTGATTATTCTAGGTATAATGGGAGTCTGGACAAACTCGTTCTGAGCCTGGATAAAGTATATAATTTGCACCAAAAATAAAAAATGGAAACAAAAATGAATTACATCAAAAACATCTTCCTATGTCATTAGATTCAAGCTAACACTGTGAAACTCCTTCTGGGGCCAACAGGTAAATTCTCCAGCAGTGAATTCACTCGATCACAAGAAGCCATTTCTCCAGGCATCTGACTCCCAGCGTGAGTTGTCCCAACTCCTCTCTAACAAAAGGTAAGGTGAGAAGTCACCAGAGGTGTTAGAGTTCCCAGAAAAGGCTCCCTACCTTTCTCTTTAACCTATTCCTGTGGCTCTCATGTCTCCTGGTAAGCCATATGATCCAGGAGGATGAATTCTTTTCACTGTTTAATTAGTCGCAGATACTCAGGACAGTGGGTTTCAAGCTGGTTGGAGTGCACACCCCTTCAGTCCCTCGATCTGACAGCCAGCAGACCTACTGCCATGGTAACAAGAGACAAGAGGTTTAGCAATCAAGCCCTGGTCCTGCTTCCTGAGTGGGAAGAAGGGGTTGGCAGGAATGGGATGAGGACATAGCATGGGAGAAGCGGGCATCAGGGGTAGCAGGTGGTAGCCAGGCTGCTGAGACACAGGGGAGCTCTTCGTCCTAGCCAGGATTCAGGCAGCCTCCAATAATGCCACATGTGGATGGCCCAGAGCCAGTCTCCCTAAATGATGGGATGACCATCAGGGACTCTACTTCCCCACAACCATGTTATTGTCTCTTTCCAACCACACAACCCAGGGAGTAGCCCCAATGATGCATGCCTCCTACTATCATCCATCCCATGCCAGAGGCCAGGGTGGGCAGTATATGTATGGCCTCCATCTCTGCCACCAAGGAGCAATCCTTTGGGTTTGAAGGGGCACTGAGCCCTCACGTCGGAAATACAATATAGGGCTTTAAAAAAGGTGTCAGAGGGCCAGGCATGGTGGCTCATGCCTGTAATCCCAGCACTCTGGGAGGCTGAGGTGGGTGGATCACCTGAGGTCAGGAGTTTGAGACCAACCTGGCCAACATGGGGAAACCCTGTCTCTACTAAAAATACAAAAATTAGTCAGGTGTGTTGGCACATGCCTGTAATCTCAGCTACGTGGGAGGCTGAGGCAGGAGAATCGCCTGAACCCAGGAGGTGGAGGTTGTAGTGAGCCAAGATCGCACCATTCACTCCAGCCTGGGTGACCAAGAGACACTCCATCTCAGGAAAAAAAAAAAAAAAACAAAAAAAAAAAACTATAATACCAGTCAAAGAATGAGGAAAATATCAGATAAATCCCAATGGAAGGACAATCTACAAAATACCTGACTAGCATGCCTCCAGTTGTCAAGGTCCCCAGAAACAAAGGAGACACACCACCTAGATGTAAAGTAGAGTCCTGGGTGGGAGCCTGGAACAGGAAAAGGCTTTAGCGAAAAACTAAGAAAAGTCCAGTAAAGCTTGGCCTTTAGTTAACAAGTGTTAACATCGGTTCAGTGATTGTGGCAAATGCACCACACTAAGGTAAAATTCCCCAATAGGGGAAGCTGGGTACAGGGTACATGGGATCTCCTTGCACTATCTTTGCAACTTTTCTGTAAATTTTAAACTATCCTTAAAAAAAAAAAAAAGGATTCTTAAAAAACAACTATTGGCTGTACTCTTGTAATCTCAGCATTCAGGAGGCTGAGGTGTGCAGATCACCTGAGGTCAGGAGTTCAAGGCCAGCCTGGCCAACTTGGAGAAACCCCATCTCTACTAAAAATACAAAAATTTGCTAGGTGTAGTGGCGGGTGCCTGTATTCCCAGCTACTCAGGAGGCTGAGGCAGGAGAATCGCATGAATCTAGGAGGTGGAGGTTGTAGTGAGCCGAGATCATACCACTGCACTCCAGCCGGGACAACAGAGCAAGACTCCATCTCAAAAAAAAAAAAGAGCATCAGGCCATAAAGGGTCATGAACCTGCAATGCATATTGCTTAGTGAAAGATGCTAACACCAAAAGACTATGTCTTGTATGATTCCAACTGTATAACGTTTTGGAAAAGGCACAATTATGGGCACAGTGAAACAGTCAGTGATTGCAACAGACTTGTAGGGAGGGAAGGATGAAGAGATGGAGCACAGGGACTTTTCAGGACAGTGAAACTATTCTGTATGATACTGTAATGTTGCATAGATGATAGCATGCATTTGCCAAAATCCATAGAGCTGTACAGCACAAAGAGTGAACCCCTGTATGAACCACGGGCTTTAGTTCATAATAATGTATCAATATTCATTCGTCATTCATAACAAATTAATCACACTAATACGAAATGTTAATAACAAGGAAAACTGTAAGGGGGGAAGAGGAGTATAAGGGAATTCTCTGTACTATCTGCTCAATTTTCTGGAAACTTAAAACTTCTCTAAATAATAGTCTATTGATTTTTAACAATGCAAAGGCAGAATAGCTAGGTAGCCACGTGGTGCCAAGGCAATGCACACAGCATTCGTGCCCTGACCCTGGCCGGCTCCATGAATTCACTTTGTACCCGCCAACCTCTAGAGGCCAGTGAACTTGAATTGCAACCCCTCTATACCTGCCTCCTTCCACACACAGAGCACTCTCGTGGAAACTCCAGGACTCTACACAGCACATGTGAAAAATACAAGCAAGAGGACTCAGCTTCCTCAGCCATTCCTCTGGCTCTGTGCTCAATCCCTCGTGTATCTGTCCCATGGGATAAGCTGTCCTCTTAGCTGTGAGGCTCAGCTCCCTGGCTGTTTCTCCACTCTCTTTTCTGATCTCTTGGGTAGCTTCTACTGGTAGCAATATCCTGCTCAGCGAATAAAAAGCCCTGTCTCTCATTTTTCCTTTGGCTTCAAAGACATTAAAGTGTGTGTGTGGGGGGTGGGTAAAATGGCCAGGAGTGTCAGCAAAGGGCCTGATAGGTGAAAGGTAGAAAAATACTATGCTTGGCCAGGCACAGTGGTTCATGACCGTTATCCCAGCACTTTGGGTGGCAGGTGGATGACTTGAGCCAGGAGTTCAAGACCAGCCTGGGCAACAAGGTGAAATGCTGTCTCTATGAAAAACATTCCCTCCCCACAAATCTGTAGCTGGTCATGGTGGCACATGCCTGTAGTCCCAGCTACTCAGGAAGCTGAAATGGGAGGTTCTTTTGAGCCCAGAAGGTCAAGGCTTCAGTAAGCTAAGATAGGCATCACTGAACTCCAGACTGGGTGATAGAGTGAGACCCTGTCTCAAAAAAAAAAAAAAAAAAAAGAAAGAAAGAAAAGAAATATACTATGCTCACCAAAAAAAAAAAAAGCAACTTAATCCTAGTGTTCAGAACCTTGGATTTCAAACGTGTGCCTCAGATCACCCACAGGAGCTATTCCCAAAATCCTGCTCCCAGAACCCCTAGGCCACACCAAGCCCCTTCGGTGACTGCTGGCAGGAGCGTCTTGGGGAATATGGCTCTCAGGCATCCCTAGAGCGCTGTTCAGCCCGGTCGCCTGTGGTGGCCACTGGCACTCCAGTTGGATACTCTGATTCCTCAGCAGAGATCATTGAGTGTCCTGAATGGTGTCTGTTAAGACACCTCAACTCGAGTGGCTGGATCCCCCATATTTCCTCCCCCAACAGTAGCTGGATTGCCAGGGTTTGTGGATGGGACAGTCACGCTGGGCAGGTGAGAGGAAAAGTAACCCTGCCAGAGATTGGTAAGGAGGAGCTGTAGACACTCCACCTCTGACCAAGACATCCTTGCCATTTGCTTTAGATGCTGGTGGCAAAGGGCCCACAGAACTCTGCCAGGGTGAGGCAGGTAGGGAAGCCTTTCCCAGGTCACCACAGCATCTCAGACATTCTCTGTGAACATCCCACTTGGAGGATGCCCTGTTGGCACTCTTCTGTTCCCAACGGAGACAGCATTGGCTTTCTTCTCTGACAGTAATTATCCCCTAGCCTCTGTAGAAGGCCCTCATGGGCCAGGTGCAAAACGCACGAGCCGTGTGCATGCTATCATTGTCTCCCACTTTACAGGTGAAAAAACGCAGGCTCAGAGAGATGAAGTAGCTGGCCCAGGTCAGCAGCTCATCAGTGGTGGACTCAAACCCAGGCCTGTCAGAGTCGTGAGCTCCCCTCACTCCTCACAGCACTTTTGTTTAGGATCCATGACTGCCTTTTAGGGACACGTGTCCCTTATGTTATCTAGCAGGAGTTGGCATTTGCCAGCCCACATTTTGTAATATTTTGCACAAAATGTTCTTTATGTGCTTCCCACCACCAGATCCCCCTGCCTGGGGTATCTGCTCTTCCAATGTATCCACATCATCTGATTTTCCCAAGAGGCCAGGATTTTTAAAGGGCAAAACTGTGTTTTCCTAACAGGCCAATCTTTTAAAGTCTGGAAACCCAGAATTCCCTTTTACTACCCTCACCATTTCAGCTGAGAACCCCTGAGTTCAGTCTCTCTGTTCTGTAAATGAGGACACTGAAGCCCCCAAAGGGAGTAAGATGCTTTAACTGTAGTGAATAACGTAAAGAGACACAATTAAACCCAGACCTTCACACTCCACGGTGGTGCCTTCCTTCCTTCCTTCCACCTGCTGCTCCCCCGCCTTCTTCCTGCCTCCTTCCCTCCTCCACTCCCCTCTTCTCCCACCCGGCCTTCCACCATTGGCTCTGCCTCTCTCTATTCCTGCCTCCTTTTCTCCCACTTCTCTGCTTATTCCCTCTGTCGTGCTCCCTTTCAGCCAGGACTGCCTCTCTGCTGCTTGTTCGTTCACCCGTGCTGCTGCCAGCCTTTATCTGACACTATCTCCTAGAGAGTCCTGGTGGAATAGGTGTAAGGAGCAGCCCCTGGGCAAAGCCTCTCAGGGACTGTCTGCCATGCCATCCATCAGAATAGTGCTCCTTCCACCTTGTCTTGGCCTTGGTCATTCCTAGACATTCCTTTAGTATTCCAACTTCAGATGATCCCTGAATGCGTTTGCCTGGAGACCCTTAATCCTGCAGTCAAGAACCTTGGACTTCAAAGATGTGTGTGTCACATCATTATCGACTACCTCCAAATCTCCCTCAATTGAGATTTGAATCATGTGAATCCAAGTCATGGCCCTTCCAAGCAGCACACCCTTGGGCAAGCCAGCTCCCCACTTTGGGATTTTCTTGCCTCGTCTGTAAGATGTGCAAAGGTCCCTCTGACATCATCCCTCTGTGAGCAGATAAATGTTGTAGTGCTGGGTCAGAGCTGCTGGGGTGAGAGAGCGAGGGCCCAGCGGCTGTTGCTGCCTGAGCTCCTGAGTGGCTGCTCTTGTGGAATTGCTGCAGTTGGGGAACTGGAGGGTGGGGTGCTGGTCCTCTGCTCATCACATTCTGAAACAAACCTGATTCATCACTTCCCCAGGAATGCTCAGGTCCTGGAAGCTGATTCCACTCTGACTGGCAACCCAGGAGGCCTAATTATTATTAATATGGCTTATTAATCCTTATTAAGAAAGATAATTCATTCTGATGGCTGGTATGTTTTCCCTCCAGAGGGACATCAACATGAGAAATGAACTCGGCGTCAAAGGCTGAGGGCCTTGGGATGGGCAAGGGGAGAGGGCAGAGGTCATTTATGGCCCCATCCCCAGAATTACAGAAACCAAGCTGTGGAATCCAGGGACAGGACGCTTGAGCAGCTTAGGGAGTTGAGGAGTCATTTCCCTCGGGAGCCCCCAGCCTTCCATTACACTGTCCTCCTGCATGAGCTGTTGAGGGGACAGGTGGGGCAGCCGGGCGGCTGCAAAGGGTACTGGATGCCACCATTGGCCACAGCCTTCTACCCTGCCCCATCCACCTCTCCCATCCTCTTCCACCCCCTCCCAACTTTCAACAGTTTGACACCTGTGAACTCTCCCTAGAACCTGAGCCAAGGCTCCACTGGGAAGCCATTGAGGAATGAGCCATTTTTGTGCCAGTGACTTGGTCTTGCAAACTTGCTACAGCTTCTAAACTGACCTTGACCCGTTGTAAGGAAACCACTTGCAGGATGGAAAGCCCGCTCTCCTTCCCTTCTCCAGGCTGCACCAGGAACCACTCAGCAGGAGCCTTGAGAATTGGTCACGGTTCTCTAAAGAAAAGTGTGCAGACCTTGCCACCTTGTGGCTACCTCTGGTCCTGCAGCAGTCCTCACCAGACCCAGCACAGAGGTCTCTGATCTCCCACCGTGGAGGGCACCCCGAGGAGAGTCTCTCCACTGCTAGGAAATGGACATTGGGAGTTGAGTGGGGCTACCCCAGGCTCTGATGTATTTTCCTGTTTGTTTGACCACTATCATGACTAGTGGAAAAAACCCTGCCATTGGCTGAGATGGGAAGGCGGAGGCCAGAGCCGGGGAAGGGGCCATACTCATGAGTGAGACCCGCAGTTGTCTGGTGGGTGGAGTGCCTTGGGCGGAAGATGCAGACCTGGTGGAGCCAGCTCATCTGTCTCTAACCCTAGCCTGCCTCTCAGCCCCAGAGTCCCCGCAGTGTAAAAGGAGGGTTGAGGCCTGGCACGGGAGCTCACACCTGTAATTCCAGCACTTTGGGAGGCCAAGCTGGGCAGACCAGCCTGACCAATATGGAGAAACCCTGTCTCTACTAAAAATACAAAATTAGCCAGGCATGGCGGCTCACGCCTGTAATCCCAGCTACTCCGGAGGCTGAGACAGGAGAATCACTTGAACCCAGGAGATGGAGGTTGCAGTGAGCCCAGATTGCACCATTGCACTCCAGCCTGGGCAACAAGAGTGAAACTCCATCTCAAAAAAAAAAAAAAAAAAAAAAAGAGGGTCGTAACCAGGTGACTTAGACCTCTTCCAGCTCTGATATTGTCTCCAGGCAGGAAACAAGGAAGATCTCCTTACAGCACTGAGCACTTACAACTAAGAGTGGAGAACCTGTCACCACTGGCATGTGGAGTACCCTGGCCTACCACCAGCCGTGTCCATGTGCCTGTTCACCTCCCAGGAGAGGCCTCTGGGCTCACTGCACTTGGCCAGGAGTCTGAGGCCAGGCACACATGTCAGCAGCCTAGGTGTGTGGGCACAGCTGCATCTGGTGAGCTGTCGGATCTGCCTCCTCACTCAGGGAGTACAAGTGGCACCCAGTGGCAGGCAGCATGGTCGGGGGTAGGCCACTATGTGTTTCCCAGAATCCCACAGAGTCAAGCCCAGTTAGAAAGCACTGTGGCTGAGAGCACAGGTTCTGACACATCAAAGAGTCCAGAATAGCTCCAGATTCTGCTGTTTACCAGCAGAATAACTTTTAGAATTTCTTTAACCTCTGTAAGCTTCAGTTTTTTCACCTATAAAATGGAGATGATGACATCCACCTCTTGGGTCATTGAGAGGACTAATTGGCATGATGTTTGCAGAACACCTTCATGGAGCCTGGCATGTCTATCAATGACAGTTGTGACCACTGTTTGTTGTTCAGCTTCTAGAGCCAACACATGCATGCTCTAACAATGAAAATTACTGTGTAAACCATCCAAGACAGGATTCTTAGCTCTTGTCTTAGCCTGCTCGGTCTGCTATAACAAAATGCTATAGTATTTTGAGTGGCTCAAAGGACAAATGTTTATTTTTCACAGTTCTGGAGGCTGGGAAGTCCAAGGTCAAGGCGCTGGCAGATTCAATGCCTGGTGAGGACCCCCCTTCCTCGTTCATAGACAGCTGTCTTCTCAGTGCATCCTCACATGGTGGAAGGGGCAAGGGAGCTCTCCAATGTCTCTTTTAAAAGGACTGTAATCTCATTCAAGGGCATTCAGCCCTCACCTCCCAAAGGCTCCACCTCTACCACTACCATTACATTAGAGATTAGGTTCAACACATGAACTTTTAGGGACACAAAGCTCCAGTCCTTAACACAGCAATTCCTGCTGAGGGTTTCCTTCCTTGCTTGCAGGCACCTCCTTCCTGCTGTGTGCTCACGTGGCAGACAGAGAAAGAGAGAGGGAGAGAATGGACTATAGTTTCTCATCCTTTTCTTACACCTATAAGGACACTAATCCCAGTATGGGGGCCCCATCCTCAGGACCTCATCTAAATCTAATCACCTCCCACAGGTTCCACTGCCCAATGCCATCACATTGGGGATTAGGTGTCAATGCATGGATTTTGAGAGGACACATTCAGTCCATAACAGCTCCTAGATATAAACCCTGAATTTCTCATCTGTAAACCTGCCCCATTCCTTTTGCTTCTGTTGGTTTGTGTTTTGCAGTGATGTGAATGCCAGGAAAATCCTGCCCTCGCCTTGCCCCAGTCCACAGAGCCAAAAACAGAGCAGCACTAGCACGCCCCTGGAAGACAGGTCTGTGGCCCTCCGTTATGCCTGTGACAGCCCCTGCAGTGGGTGGAGTGGGCCTCCACCTCCAGTCTACTTTCCAAAGAAGCCCCTTGTCCGGTAGCCACACAGACAGAGCCCAGGTCTGGTCTCTGCCCTGGTCCCCTGGGAATCCCCTGGAATCACTCACGCAGGCCATCAAAGCCAGGAGGTTTTCTCCCATAGTCACCAGGGCCTTGTGTGGACAGAGTTGCTTCATATCTCCTTGTGAATAGATGTACCTGGCGGCCAAAAAGGGAAAGAGCCAGCCCAGGGCAGCCCTACCACAGGGCAGAACATGAAGCTGGCCTCAAGGCCTAGCAGCATTTGCTTCCAGGCTTAGCAGAGTTGATCAGCACATGGGCCTTTGTATCCTCTGACTAGAATGGCTGCTCAGCCTCCTTCACCAGCACAGCCACTGCCTTGCCTGCCTGGACTCTGCTTTAGTGCTTCCAGCTGGCTGCAGTTGGAAAGCCAACACCCAAAACTACCTGTGGAAATGGCCAGTCCCTTGTCACATACCGTCCTCACTGCCTTCTAAGGAAGTGGTTACTGCCTCCTGCTGTGCAGAGGCACAGGGGTGAGGATGGATGGAAGGTTAGCAAGGCCAGGCAAATGTGCTGCTCTGACTTTGCTGAAGGGGAATGCTATATGAAGAAGCTGAATTGAAAAGGGGATAGGAGGGCATACACAGCGCTCCCTTTCTAAGGAGATTCTAACACATTTCTACTTACACATCTCATTGGCCGGCTGACCATACATCACGGCAAAGGAGGCTGGGAAAAATAGTCTTTTTAGTTGTGGCAACTTAGCTAAATATGGTTCCGTTTTTAAGGAGAGACAGGAGAATAGTAATCTCTGCCTTGAGGGCAAGTAGCTAAGCCACATAGGAAATGGGGGTGCTGGGTGCTCTGAGGACACTGTGAAGGATATGACATCTAAGCTGGGTGCAGAAGTGATGGGCCCCAGGTCAAGGAGGGCTGGTTTGGGTAAATCAGGGATGGGAGTACAGGAGGGGTGGTGGTGAGGGGATGGAGAAGGCAGTGAGAGAAAGCGCAGCCACCATGTGACGGTTGGTGGGGAGGGCAGTCCAGGGAGAAAAAGCATCAGAGCAAAGGCCCTGAGGCTGGAAGTGACTTGGTAAGTTCAAGTCACTGAAAGAGGAGGGGGCAGCTGGAGCTACTGACCCGGGGTCATATCACACACAGCCTGGTAGGTCACGGGACAGAGTTTGAGCTTTATTCCATGAGTGATGAAAAGCCACTAAAGAGTCTGTATTAGTCTGTTTTCACACTGCTGATAAATTGCCAGTCTGATACCCAAGACTTGTAATTTATAAAGAAAAAGAGGTTTAATGGACTCACAATTCCTGTGGCTGGGGAGGCCTCACAATCATGGTGAAAGGCACATCTTACATGGCAGCAGGCAAGAGAGAATGAAAGCCAAGTGAAAGGGAAACCTCTTAGGAAACCATCAGATCTTGTGAGACGTAGTCAACCACCGAAACAGTATGGGGGAAACCGTCTCCATGATGTAATTACCTCCCACCAGGTTCCTCCCACAACACGTGGAAATTATGGGAGCTAAAATTCAAGATGAGATCTAGGTGAAGACACAGCCACACTGTATCAGGGTCTATGGCAGGCAGTGACCTGACCCAATTTGCATGACAAGAGGCTTAGTGTGGCTGCCACATAGAGAAGGCAGGAGTGAATGAGAAGCAGCCCAGCTGTGTCATGCAGCTTTCTGGGTGAGATCAGTCACTAGAAATTGGGAAGCATTTTGAAAAGGTAAGAGCTGAGTCCAGCTGTAAGGTGTAGTAAAATGTGACGTGTGGTTGCCCCCAGCATCCCTGAGAGGCCAGTGTCATCCATCCCTCTCACCGGAGACAGCCAGACAGACTCGGACATCCTGGCCTTCATCAAGGCCAGAGAGAGAATTCTGCAGAAGAAATGTAAGTGCGCCTCCTTCATTGGCTCCTCCAGGGCTGCAGGTCACCAACACTTGTGGGGAGCACAAAGTGAGGTGGAAGGAAGTAGGGAGTTTCCTGAATGTTCCTGAAGCCATGGTACTGGCTACCAGTCATTCACATGTGCCCTGCCTCTGATTCCTGCTTGAGAAAGCCCCAGGGGGTAGCATCAGAAACACCAAGACAGGCCTAAGGGGGTGGGCAGCCCAGGTGCTCCTGCCCCTCTTGGCAGAGCTCGAGCTCTCTCTCTTTCTCTCTCTTCCAGATGTTCAGCTCCTTTGTTCTCTGTCCCCAAAGCCAGCTGTCTCCTCTGCTCAGCCTTCTACAAACAGGAAGGGGCTGAGTGATGGTTGGTTGGATAACTTGCTGAACCCCTAGCTTAAAGTCTCACTTCCCTATCAGAGTGTATTCTTGCCCAAGAGCTGTGAGTGTAAACACCACTTGAAGCCCCAGACCTGAAGACGCCATAATAATCACAGAGGAGGTATGTGTGGTGTGTCAGACAGTAAGAAGAGAAGAAGGCCCTTCCCGGCCTCATCACTGGCCCCCACCCCAGCCCATCCTCTTGGCAGCTGCCTGTCTCCCATCTGCTGTGGATGGGCCTTTTCTCTTTCTGCCTTCCATCCCCTACACACCACAGGACAAGCCCCAGGGCCCCTTACACAGGCCTGTGTTTTGTCTTAGCCTCCTCCCGATAACCCAAAGGCTATTAGGTAGGCTTAACGTTGCCTTCACATTGCCAGAAAGACGCCCCTCCGTGATGGTATGGTCCAGCAGATTGGAAGTATGTGTAATGACCGATGCCTGCCCTGTGGGGCCTGCACTCAGCTTCTCCACCAACTGTATGCTGTTTGGGCAGGAAGAGGCTTGTGCATGGATGGAGTACTGCCACTGACAGCCGTCCTTGGTCCTGCTGCCCTCACTTTGCTAGGCCGTCAGCCTCTCATTGTCCTCTCTCCCCCACCAGGACTGGCAGCCTCAGCACCACTGTCAGGTCCTTTCTTAGGCTGGCGACAACCCCGCTCTGCTGTGATAGCTTAACTTTCTCTCATCTCAGTTTCCTTGTCTAACCAAGAAAACTGGATTCGGTGATCTCCAAAGCCCCATCTATGCCCCAAATACTCTGATGAAATGTATCAGGCACTGAACAGAAATGAACAGCTGATCAGTAAGCAAACACTGTATGTGTCGGGTGCCTTCTTAGGCCAGGCACTTGTTAGTGCTGGGGCTGCAGCAGAGAACAAGGCATAGCCCAGCACGTGAGAAACACATTTTGGGGAGAAGAATGAGACAGACAATGAACACATCAATGAATAAGATCATTTGCGGGGCTAATCAGTGCTATGAAATAGCTAAACTGTGTAATGTAGACGGTAACTGGGAACACTGCTTTTAGCTGGGTAGGTGGGGGAGGCCTCTCTGGAGAAGAGAACTTTAAACTGACAGCTGCATCCTGAGGATAGAGCAGCCATGCCACGTTCTGGGAATGCACAGTCCTAACAGACAGAGCAGAAAGCAAAAAGCCTGACGGGGAATTTGATTGGCCACGGGGTGGGAAGGAGGCCAGAGCAGCTGGAAGGCAGGAAGCAAGAGCCCAAGGCCAAGTCACGCCAGCTTTATGATAAGGGGACAAGATTTGGATTTTATTCTGGGTACAGTGAAAACCCACTGAAGAATTTTAACCATGGAGTGATACGGTGTGACTGATACTTTAAAAAGTTCACTTTGTCTGTCATATGTAGAGTAGAGTGTAGAGGCCAAGAGCAGACCAGTTACCAGGCTGCCACGAAAGTGCCAGCAAGGGATGAGAGTGGCTTGGACTCACCTGCAGACTGAATGTGAGATGCAAGAGGAAGAGGAGAGTCGGCGCACCGCCCTGGCTTTTGATCTGAGCAGCTAAGAGAATGACAGTGCCATTCACTGAAATGAAAAATGCAGGGCGGCCTGGCTGTCAGAGGCAAGGAGCTGGAGGGATGGAGAGTTCTGGCTGCCCCATTTGAAGTTTCAGATGACATTTGACATCCAAGAGGAGGTGTTGAGTGGACAGTTGAGCATGAGTGGAACTCAGAGAGAAAGTCTGAGCTAGAAAAAGAAATATGCAAGTCGTCATGTCTGGATGGTGTCTGACGCCACAGGATAGAGTGCAGGGTCCTCTGAAGAGCAGAGATGGTGGTATTCCAGTTGCTGAGAACAGCCCCCTGGGGCTCTCTAACCGTTTCAACCAGTGAGAGGAAGCTGAGATGCTAAGAAGGCACCGCCAGGGCGCGAGAAGGAACAGCAGATGAGTGGGTACAGCCTCAGGCAGGAGCTGGAGAAGTGCAAGCTCCAAGAAGAGACAGGCCAGTAGAGTCAAGTGCTGCTGAGAGGCTGAGTGTGGCAGGATGGAATGCTGACCGCTGGCCATTTTGCATGTCTGGGTGGCTGTGAACAAGCGCCATTTAGGCAGGGGATGGAGTGGCTGGGAAGAGGATGGAAGGGAAAGAAGCTGAGGCAGTGAGCAGACACAGCTCCTCCAGGGGGTTGAGCTGTGACAGGAGCAGAGAACTGGAGCTGGAGCTAAGGGAAGCAGGAGCCCAAGGGATGCTATGTGTGTTCTACAGGGGTCCTGTTAAGACATGCTCACATGCTGAAACATACAGAGAGAGGGAAGTTGATGCTGCGGTGGGAGAAGGGGGCAGAGCTGCAGGAAAACTTCCTTCAGAGGGTAGGGGGGACGGTACCGGGGCATAAGTGGAGAGGGCTTAAATACTCAGGATATCCTTTGGAGCTGGGCTATCCCTTTCCCCGTAACAAATCCATAGAAACCAACCATCATTCCTCCCCTCAAAAAGCCTACAAGCAAGCAATATCTTTAAGTTCAGTTCACTAAGGTTTTGTGCATATAAGAGAGCTGTGATCATCCAGCTGTCTTCGAACAGAAGAGACAGAAGTCCAGGTCCCTGTCAGAGTGGCGTTCTCCTGCTAGCACTGTCCCAGGCAGCACAGAGAGCTGGACGGAAGGCCACTTTTTTATTTTAATAAAAGGGCACTTTCATTAAAACATGTATGGCAAATTACTAGTTATAAATGTTTTCATTTCTATCCGTTCCTTTGATGCTCTTAGCCCTCCCGTAAGGCATGCAGAGCCAAGATTATGATCCCCCTGGTGACAGGTGAGGAAACTGAGGCACACAGAGGTTGACTCACTGTGTAGCCCAAGGTTACACAGCTGCTAAATGGCAGAGCCAGTGTAACCGAGGTTTTCCGCTTCTCCCCACTGGGCCAAACTGTCTTGAAAAGCTGCAGTGACCAAGATATGCCCACTCTGCTGCCAGGAGTTCTCTCAGCCTCAGGAACAGGAACCAGCATTGACAGGAGGAGAGTGACTGCAGCCTCTAACCGCCCTGCAGCCGGCGAGCTTCACTCTCCAAACAAACAGCAGCCTGGAAGTCATTCATCAAAGCAAATGAAACTTCCACAGCTCCATTTTTTTTCCGAAATGAAGAGTATTAACTCTTGCTTTTCAGTGACCACAGGGCCACAAAGGAAGCCAAAGACAGGTTGACTCGGGGTCCCTCTGCCGCCAGGTCCAAAAGGACCAGCAGGTGTGACCTCTCAGGACATACAGCCAATGCTTCTGGTCCCACCACGCAGCACACTTATCAGGCCACCCAGGCAAACACACAGGCTGGGGCCCAGGCACCTTCTCAGGCAAAGCAAACACCTCCCTCTCCCTGCCTGGGCTCTCGAATCTTAATTTAGCGCACAGCGTTGCCTGGGCTTCTTCAGGAGTGCTCATTAAGGGGAATTTGTGGCTGTCGACTCGGGAGCAGGAGCCCAGAGAGGGCAATTTAATATAAGCCTCGCCACCTCTTCGACTTCACTAGGGGCCAGGATGAATCTACTTGATTTAGGGTTTGTGGAACAGCATGGAACGTTTAAATCCCTGCCAGGGGCACGTGTGAACAGGTATATAACCCCCATAAGGGACATCAGTCATCCATGGAGTCAACTCTGCCGTTTCCAACTGCCAAGGACAGTTTTTACGTCTGAAGAAATAAAGTTAACCCCTTTCTAGAGGGCCTTTTTGTTTTCAATCTTACTACATCCCTGAGTTTGGAAGTATTTCCACCCGGAAAGGAACCTTGGTGTGACCCTCATAGCCATGAGCCTGTCTTCTCCAAGAGGTGTTAGGAAGAGGTCCTGCCTCTCCCAGCCCCTCCAGCCCCACTCGGAGAAACCCTCCAGCTCTCTTCTGTGTTCAGAAACCCTCCCAGGGAGAGAAAGACCCCTGAACTGGGAGGGAAAAGGCCAGAATTTCAAGGCCATCTCAGTTCTGTGTGACGCTGGGCAGGTCACCTCCCCGAGCCTCCCTCTCGCTGTCTGTCATGTACAGACTCCACCCTTGCCCAGGCTTAATCCTTCCCCAGATAATGTCCATTAAAGCCCCTCATCAATGCCCAGGCACCAAGGAATTATTAGCAGAGAAGTGGCCTCTGTGGTGAGAGCTGGCCCAACACCATGAGGGGTGATATTTTTTTAATGGTCTATCTGTACCATGCCTTCCATTCTGGGAGCTCATGGTAATCAAAATCCCAGTATAGACAGAGCTTCATCACTTAACCAGGGCCATAAGTGAATGAGCTGGAAATAGTGCCTTTTGTGTTGAAGTCTGTGCGTGTGAGGAGCTATGTCTTGGAGCAGAGCGCTCGCTCAGCCCTATTCTGTAGCGTTCTTCCTAGGCCCCACCCAACCCACCCCCATCATCACTGCATGCAAGTGTGTGAGGGGCTCAGAGACCATCCTGGGCAGGAGATGGCTGAGACACCGTGTTCCTCACCACCAGCAGCTTTCACAGTCCTGGCCCAGGCTGCATGTCAGCAATGCAGCAGAAACTTCAGACCCCAGAGCTCATCAGTAGCCACATGCTCACAGGCCCCCAGCTCTTGCCCTGCTGTTCTTGTACTGGAGAGACAAAAGCAGCAAGTTTCAGCCCAGGCCACGCATCAGAATCACCTGGACCCACCCCAGCGATCCTGACTTAATGGTTCTGGGCTGTGGTCTGGGCACCAGGATTTCTAGAGAGTGTCCAGGGATTTCCTTTGTGTAGCAGAGCTGGGAACCACGAGTCCAGAGTGACTGGACTCCATCATAGGCTCTGGTGTACCTTGTCTTCTTACTTCCTGTTCTAAGATTCAATTCAGACAGGTCAGAATGTCTTAAAAATAAGGACTATATTTGTTTAATTAAACGTCAAGGTCTGCTGGGCATCATGGCTCATGCCTGTAATCCCAATACTTACGGAGGCCAAGACGGGCAAATTACTTGAGGTCAGGAGTTCAAGACCAGCCTGGCCAAAATGGTGAAACTCCATTTCTACTAAAAAAAAAAAAAAAAATACAAATATTAGCCTGGCATGGTGGCGAGCTCCGGTAATCCCAGTTACTCTGGAGGATGAGGCAGGAGACTCACTTGAACCCGGAAGGTGGAGGGAGCAGTGAGATCTCACCACTGCACTGCAGCCTGGGAGACACAGTGAAACTCCATCAAAAAAAAAAGAAAGAACAAGGCCAGCCAGAGATCTTGCTACAGAATTAGAACTGAAGGACCAAGGGCTCACAGCCTTGAATTATTTCCAATCTCTTCCTCTGCACGAAGTCGACATTCAGTGTGTCACCAAGAATTACGCAATCTTCCTCCACAATATCAAGCCAACCAAGCCCACACTCTTCTCTCACTACCAGGCTCCTGTGGTCACACCTGGATGGCTGCAGTTGCCTGCTCACCCATTCCCTGACCAGCCTCACCTCTCAGTCTCTCTGTCCACCGTCATTTTTTTAAACATTGTATTACTTCAAGAATCTCAGAAATTCTCTCTTGCTTTTATTAAATTAGCCAAACTTTAAGCAAAATAACTGCATATCAGTCTTACCAGTTCTTCTCACACTTTAACGTGCTAATGAATTGACAGGTTTTGTCAAAATATAGATTCTGATCCAGTAAGTCCAGTGTGGAGCATGCCTTAGACTCTGCGTTTCTTAAGCTTCCTGGAAATACCAGCACTGCTGGTCCCTGGACAGCACTTTGCGAATCAAGAAGCCACCTTGCTTTTTCTAGGTATCCCATCTGCTCTAGCAAGGAGAAATGTGAGGCCCAGAGAACTGACATGACTTGTCCAAAGTCACACCGTGATTTGGGGACTGTCCTGGCTAAAACTCATGGGCCTTGGTTCTCAATCTAGAGAACCTTCTTTATGCCCAGAAATGGGAGGTGACAGGATGGGGGCCATGTGGTCAGGAGGAGCCATCCTGAAATATAATTAATATCTGGAGCAAAAAGCGAGGAGAAAATCTCTCCGAGGTTCAGGTAGGATGTGGGGTTGGCTGGGTATGGTGGTGTAATCCCAGCACTTTGGGAGGCCAAGGTGGTTGGATCACTTGAGCTCAGGAGTTTGAGACCAGCCTGGCCAACATGGTGAAACCCCATCTCTACTAAAAATACAAAAGTTAGCCAGGCATGGTGGCAGGTGCCTGTAATTCCAGATACTTGGGAGGCTGACACAGGAGAATCACTTGAACCCAGGAGGTGGAAGTTGAAATGAGCTGAGATTGTGCCACTGCACTCCAGCCTGGGCAACAGATGGAGACTCAAAAAAAAAGAAAGAAAGAAAGAAAGAAAATAAAAAAAGAAAACCATGGTGTAGGAAAACAGGCATGAGTCTCAGCTCAGAGAGGTGGAACTTCTACAAAGGGCAAAGGGGCCTCTTCCTTAGGAGACTGGGGTGTAAATGCAGCTCCTGGGAGGCAAGACACAGATGTAGTGCCCAAGATCCAGGGGGAGTGGCCTGTGGCCTCCCTTCATCCCCATTCAATCCTGGGAAAAGTCAGAGTCAGCATGCGCAGCCTAACCCAAAGCATCCTGTCTCCCTTTCAGGTTTGGGAAGCAATTGAATTTCCAGGAAGTATCCAGCCATGCAAGAATGAAGTACAGATGAAGGCAGCACCCCTCACTTGTTCTGGCATCAGAAGTGATCTATGAGCTGCTCAGAGTAGTGACTTGGGTTCCCATGGAATGGGCTGTGTTTCTTTAAGGATGCTGTCCTGGAGGCCACCGAGAGGCTGGGGCTGGGGCTGACCATGACATCCTTCCTGTGGTTGCTGGAGCTGCTGGCAGGGTCAGGCAATGCCAGAGTGCTAGGGACAAGGTGAGGGCTACAGCTCACTATTGTAGTGATGTTACATATAGGTCATTATAAACTTTTGAGAATGTGAAATAGCACCGTCATAATATGATGTCAGGGGAAGCTCACACTGGTGTAAGGTGGGGGGGAATAATAATCGGTTATATTTAGTGATTGCCAGCCCTCCCCCTTGGCCCATGCTCTGGTTTGGAAACCCAGAAATGGCCGTGACAGGCCCAGGCAGGATGTCCAAGCCACAGGCAAGGCAGTGAAATGTAGGGCATCTTGAAGGCCAATCCTGATCTCCCAGACCACATCTTCCACGATCAGCCTCTTGGCCAGGATGACCTGGAGGCAATGCCTGAACAGCTGTGTCTCCAGGGAGCCACCTGTCCTGCAGAGTCTAAGGACATCATAGCACCCAGAGAACAGCGGGCAGCTCCTGAGGTTTCTGCTGAGAGCTCGAGAGAGGGCACCGTGGGTACCTTGGGCCTTGCAGCCTTCAGCCCGCCACTTGAGGCCTTGCAGGATTTAGGCAGACACTCCCCACTTCCACAGGGAAAAACGTTGCTGCCTGGGGGTCTTGTCTCCCCGGGCACTCTCCATGACAGAGCCGAGGGAAGGTGGGCAGCCCTCAAGGAGTTTCTTGAAGAACTGCCTCCTGAGTCAGGGGGTTCCAACCCAGCTGCAGCCAGGGAGAGGCAGCGGAGAGTGAGCAGGGGTGGCACCTGGAGATGAAGCTAGCTGAATACAAGTGCTTGTCCACTGCTCCTCTATCTCTGTCCTGTAAATATAGGACCTAGTGACTCTGGATGGGGAGCAGAGAGGTAATATAGTATAATGGGCTTGATCTTCTTTTTCCTGTTTTAGGACTGGGTAAAAGGATCATTCAGGAGAAGATAAAACCATTACATTTCTAAGCTAGGCAGGCTCATTAGGCTCCTCTAAAACACACCTCTAGTTTATGTAATTAGAAGACTAGAGCGGCTGGGTGTGGTGGCTCACACCTGTAATCCCAGCACTTTGGGAGGCCGAGGCAGACGGATCACCTGATCAGGAGTTCAAGACCAGCCTGACCAACATGAAGAAATCCAATTTCTACTAAAAATACAAAATTAGCTTGGCGTGGTGGTACATGCCTGTAATCCCAGCTACTCGGGAGGCTGAGGCAGGAGAATGGCTTGAACCTGGGAGGTAGAGGCTGCAGAGAGCTGAGATCACACCATTGTACTCCGTTCTGGGCAAGAAGAACAAAACTGGGTCTCAGAAAATGAAGACGAGAGTGAAGGGAGAGTCAGCTTGCTATTCTATGCTAATTAGTGACAAATGTCTCCTCTTCAGAGGGCTTTCCCTGACCACTCCATCTTGAGTCACCCCCTATCTATCCCCTCTCCCATTACCATTTTTTTCTCCATCACTATCTGACATTTTATCCTTCCAGACTTGCCTATTTTTGTAATACAAAACAGGCAGCCCCCCATAATACTAAGAGCTCCAATGCAGCAGGGACCTGTTTGTCTTGCTCATTGCTGTGGCTCAAGCACAGAGTCACTGTTCAGTAAACAGTCTCAGCTCACGAGTGGACATCCAGTAAACAGTCCATGAGTGGACGAGCCAGAACCCAGATGTGTTTCTCAGGCTCGTGTCACTCTGACTTCCCCCGGGGTTTTAACTGAATCTGACTGGGGGAGGGGCCCCCATCTCTAGTCCACTCCTGGCCCTCACAGTTCAATGGAACATAGCCCTCTGTAAAGTCTGTAGAAGCTGAGGAAGACCAAATTCTGATCCTAGAAACTTCCCCAGGAGTCCGTGTAAATGCACACACACTCTCTCTCTCTCTCAGGAGCCCTGAAGATGGCATGGCATTTGCCATGTCCCCCATGTAGCAGCAGTAGTGTTCCTGGCATGCCTTAGTGCCTTCAGCCCTCTAGAGCTGGGTAGTGTCTACTGACATTTTTATTTTCTTCTATTTATTTTTTGAGATGGGGATCTCGCTCTGTCACACAGGTTGGGGTGCAGTGGCACAACCATAACTCACTATAGCCTACAACTCCTGGGCTCACGTGATCCTCTCACTTTGGCCTTCAAAGTAGCTAGGACTACAGGCATGCACCACCACACCTAGCTCATTTTTAATTTTTTCGTAGAGATGGGGTCTCACTATGTGGCTCAGGCTGCTCTCAAATTCCTGGCCTCAAGCAACACTCCCGCGTTGGCCTCCCAAAGTGCTGGGATTGCAGACATGAGCCACAGCACTGTGCTGAGACATCATCTCCTGGATCCAAAGGCCTTATTGACCGAGATGTGTGGCATAGCCCATGCAGGGTGTGAACCAGCCTCCTGGGGCAATCTCTTAAGACAGGAAAGGAAATGAAGAAGACAGAAAAACACACAGCCTGGGATCTGGGGCCACTGGTGTCCAGACCATATGCAAAGTGTGTACAGCAACTGGCCCAGGAGCCCCTTGCTCCAAACGTCCCCCCCCAGTGGAAGCCCAGCCTCTGGTATGGACTCATGTTTGACGGCAGTGCACTTTCGCCAAAGTTCACTGGCCTCTGCATATGGGAGAAATCAGTGCATTCTTTGAAAAGACTTTCCAGCAATCCACCCAGGCTCAGTGGAGCCATGGATGACAAGAAGTATCTGAGTTCACTCTAAGCCAAAATGTGAAGTTTTCCAAAATGTTTTCTGTAAAGCAGCATAGCCAGTGACTTCAGCCCAGTCTCTGCTAGAATTCAACTGGCTCTACCAATCCCTTGACAGGAAGTAGGCTGGAGGGAGCAGGGAGGAGGGAGGTTAAAATATAGCTTGCTCAGATCTTGCTAAAAAGGATTTTTAGAAAGAAGATAGAGAAACTGTGGTATACTGAGTAAGTCGTTTTAATTGTCCACCACCTGTTAGAATTATACATCCAAAGCTTTGTCATGGCCCACTTTGTGATGTTGGCAAATGTGATGCAGGCAGAGGCTTGAACTGTGCTTAGCTGGTTGGGCTTGCCTCTTGCTCCAGTGATCTCTCTTGGGATGAACATGCCCTGGGTAGCTGCTGCCCCTTCAGCCTGGAACACCCAGACAGCAGACCTGAGCCCAGTCAACATCCTGGAGCAGAGCTTCCCAGGCAAGCCCAGCCCAGATCAGCTGAACTATGGCTCACGCAAAAACCTATTCACATGAGAATAAGTGATGCTTGTCGTAAACCCCTGAGGTTTGGGTGGTTTGTTATATAGCATTAATTACAGCAATAGCAGACTGGCACAGAAGTTGGAACCCAGAGACAGCACATGACTAGATCTGGGATTTCTCAGTCCAGAGTTCATTGTCTCTCCATTCAGCCTGTGGAAAGGCACCGAGTGCATCATGTATTTGGAAAAGTGGGACTGCCACCTACATTAGCCATGATAAAGCAACAAGGACCTGATTTACCTTCCTGCTTTAAATGACTAAAAACGAGACGAAATCCTCTATAGAAACCAGTGGTTTTCAGCCATTGGATAACAGGCAATATAGAGTATTATTGAACCCCAAGAGAAGAGAAACAAGAGAGGGGAGCACTGTGATTGCTCCAACTTACTGCCTGCAGTGAGTTTTCAGGCTGCAGCCCAGAAAGGGGGAACCAGGGAGAGCCCAGTGGTTTCCCTGAGTTGAGGAAATGGAGCTGGGAATCCAGGGAGGATAAAGTGGCTTATATTTGCAAGGCAGGGTCCCAGTGATGAAAGAGAGGGAGAGAAAGAAAGCGAGCATGCTCTGAGATCTTCAGAGGGTTACTCTTGAGTCTTCAGCTGATCGACATATGCATGTGAGGAAATTACCCAAGGCAAGAGAAAGAACCGCCAGGAAGGAGCAGGTCCTGAGATAACACTGGGTTAGGGAGAGTTCCTGTTCCCAACAGCCAGAGTGGAGAAACCTCCTCCCAAAACGGTCGTTGTACAGAGACACAGAAGATACTGCCTCAGAAGTGGGGTCAAATTAGTCCGAGATGATAGATTGCTCTGGTCCCACCTAACAAAGCTTAAAAAGCCAGGCTCAAAGGAGGCAAATTGTTTCCAGTAAGTTTCCAGGTAACTTCACTGAGTCCCAAACAAAGCTCAAAAATAGCTAAAGGAATACCAAAACAAAAACAAAAAAAAAAAAAACAAAAAGAAGCCAGCATCCAACAATATAGAATCCATAATGTCTGATATCCAATAAAAAATAATCAGGCATGCAAAGAAGCAGGAACATATCAGCCATAAGAAGAGAAAAAACAATCAATAGAAACAGAGGCCAGGTGTGGTGGCTCACAACTGTAATCCAGCACTTTGTGATACTGAGGCGGGAGGATCACCTGAGGTCAGGAGTTTGAGACCAGCCTAGTCAACATGGTGAAACACCATCTCTACTAAAAATACAAAAAAATAGCTGGGCCTGGTGGTGGCAGTCACCTGTAATCCCCGATACTCACAAGGCTGAGGCAGAAGAATCACTTGCACCCAGGAGCGGAGGTTGCGGTAAGCCAAGACCGTGCCATTGCACTCCAGCCTGGGCAACAAGAGTGAAACTCCGTCTCACAAAAAAGAAAAAAAAGTTCTGGCAGCAGCAGCTCAAGTGACCAAGGCAAGATGGGTCAAAGTCAGAGTGGTGGTCATGATCCTGGAGGTGGCAGGAAGGATGACAAGGACAAGGAAAAGAAATATGAACCCCTTGTACCAACTAGAGTAGGGAAAAAGAAGATAACAAAGGAACAGATGCTTCCAGCAAACCGCCACTGCTGACACCTCACACCCAGTGCCGGTTAAAACGACACTATCTTTCCACAGAGGAAGAATTCATTAGAAATCAGGAACTAATGAAACTATTAGAAGAAAAGCAAGAAGAGGAAAGATCAAAAGTGGATGATCTGAGGGGGACCCCAATGTCAGTGGCAACCGTGGAAGAGATCATCCATGCATCGTGTCTGCATCTGTGGGCTCAGAACACTATGTCAGCATTCTTTCGTTTGTAGGCAAGGATCTGCTGGAAGCCGGCTCCTCACTTCTGCTCAATCACAAGGTGCATGCTGTGATAGAAGTGCTGATGGATGACACGGATCCCCTGGTCACAGTGATGAAGGTGGAAAAGGCCCCCCAGGAGACCTACACCAGTTTTAGGGAGTTGTACAACCAAATTCAGGAAATTAAGGAATCTGTGGAGCCTCCTCTCACCCACTCGGAATATTATGAAGAGATGGATATAAAGACTCCTAAGGGGGTCATTCTCTATTGGTCCACCTGGCATAGGTAAACCATTGTTAGCCAAAGCAGTAGCAAACCAAACCTCAGCCACTTTCTTGAGAGTGGTTGGCCTGAACTTACTTAGAAATACCCAGGCGATGGGCCCAAACTCATACGGGAATTATTTTGAGTTGCTAAAGAGCATGCACAGTCCATCATGTTTATTGATTAAATTGATGCCATTGGGACAAAAAGATATGATTCAGATTCTGGTGGTGCGAGAGAAATTCAGTGAACAATGTTGGAACTGTTGAACCAGTTGGACGGATTTGATTCTAGGGGAGATGTGGAAGTGATGGCCACAAACCGAATAGAAACTGGATCCAGCACTTACCAGACCAGTCCTCAGTGACAGAAAGATTGAGTTCTGCCTGCCTTATAAGAAGACTAAGAAGCACATCTTTCAGATTCACACAAGCAGGATGACACTGGTTGACAATGTAACCCTGGACGACTTGATCATGGCTAAAGATGGTGCTGACACTCTCTGGTGCTGACCTCAAGGCAATCTGGAAAGAACCTGGTCTCATGGCCTTAAGAGAATGTAGAATGAAAGTAACAAATGAAGACTTCAAAGACTCTAAAGAAAGTGTTCTTTATAAGAAACAGGAAGGCACCCCTGAGGGGCTCTATCTCTAGTGAACCACGGCTGTCATCAGGAAAATGGTTAGGAGATTTCTCAATCCCTGAAAGGGATGAGGCTGGGGGAGTTGCCCAGAGGAATCCTTGTTCCTGTTGATTTTTATTAGCGAAACATTGTGTGTCTTTTGGAGTACGATCTGTAAGTGCCCATTGGGTGGCCTTCATTCGTTCGTCACTGTGCAGCAGTCTGCTTCCCAATAACGTGTGCTCTTTCACAAAGACACACACACACACACCCAGAAACAGCCCCCAGGCATAACATAGTTGACACAGTTGATCAAGTAAAGAAACAGAAACTTTTTTTTTTAATACAATGAATATGTGTTTCAAATATGGGCAGAAAAATGCTCCTTGTAATTCCTTTAACATAAACATGGCTCATTCATCTGGCTGTTGCTTTAACAAGGATGTGCCATCCACTGTGCTCCTTACCTCTGAGGGGTCAGAGGTGACAGAGACAGAGAAAGTGCCAGCATTCTTGGAACCTACATTCTAATGAAGGAGAGAAACAATAAACAAGTAAGCAAGACAATCTGATTAAGAAGGAGTGGGGTTAGCTGGGCATGGTAGCACACACCTGTAGTCCCAGCTACTCGGGAGGCTGAGCTGGGCGAATCCCTTGAACCCAGCAGGTTTAGGCTGCAATGAGCCGTGATCATGCCACTGCACTCCAGCCGGGGTAACAGAGCAAGACCCTGTCTCAAAAAAAAGAGTAATAAGAAGAAGTTGGGGGTGGAGCAGGGTGGGCCTGGACTCACTGTCTAGGTGGGTGGGAGTGTGAGAACCAGGCAGAGTACAAAGAGAGAAGCAGGGGAGGGAAGCTTAGGACAATGACGGCAGGCTAGGTGTTGGGTAATAGGAGGAGGCATAGGACATGGAGCTTGGCACAACAGAGACTTATGGGGATTTGGGTCATGTGAGCATGTGGGGGAGACAGTGTTCCTTCCATAACACGTGTCCAGGGACTACCAGGGCTCTGAGGCAGAGCAGGTATAGAAAGGTTGGCTGTAAATGTTGGAAGTTGAAAACGTAGGTGTCAAATGTGGGAGGGAAAAGCAGTGTTTCCTTTTATACAAGCTCCGCCTCACTTTGTGAAAAGTGGCCTCCAAGTGTGGCCCCAGATGCATCTCTCAAGGAATGGGAAGACGCAGCAACATTTTCAGAGTTAACTGCTTCATTTGGGCTTTCCATGGCCCCATGCCAGCCAGGAGGGCTGAGCCAGTTTCACGCACACTGAGGGGGAACTCAGCAAAGAGACAGCAGCACACCAGCTGCTACTCTTCCGTCTCTATTCATTCAGCTCCTGATCTCAGGAGGGTAGCCCCGCCCCAGGCCAGCACCCATCCTTTTCTGGCCCCCAGGTGTGGAATGCTGTTGTTATCTTTTCTCTGAAATATCTTCTGGGTTTGTCTTGTCTATCACTGTCCTTAGACTGAGGCAAGCAGTCCCCCTGCCTTTAGCCCCGGGCTTCGGGGGGAGCCTGTGCTTCGACATGCTTTGCTAGAAACTTTCTAAGTCTCCCTCTGGGGCTGGGACCAGACATGACCAACAATGTCATCCATGCAGGTCTCCCCTAACACAGTCCAGGCCTCATGAGGGGTCTCAGTTCCCTTTTCTCCTTTCAGGAAGCTCTCCGGTACATGCATGGGGTTAACCAGAGTCCCAAGGTACTCTGGGACTCATGTCTGTGAAGCTGTTTTAGGGCCTTCTAGTCAGTCCCTGGTTCCAGGAAAGCAGCCTGATGAGCAGATCATTCCTGCTGGCTGGCGTGGCATTTCTTTTATGGCACTATCTGGGATTGGGCCATCAGACCAGCGCTAACATGCTGATTTAAGTGACTCTTAACAGTCCACCAAAGGACAAAGAATCGTCATGTGAACCAGTCAGGCAATAAACAAACGCTTAAGTACCTCTTCTCTGTCATTATTCTAAATCTACACAAATAAGTCATTGTACCTCACATGGGCTCATGAATTTGGTGCTAAATTTTTTTCACCAAATTGTTTATACACACAGGGGTCCATCTACAAAAAAAAAAAAAATGTGTCGGGACCCTCACATACCAAGAGAAGCTGGCCCTGTCTCTCCTCTGGTTTCTGGGCTCACTATCTCTCCCAGGCCCTGGGGACACTCTGCTCCTCCCTGTCTCGGTCCCCCCGCCTTCATCCACACCCTGGCTCATGGCAGCCTGGACTTCGTGCTGCAGCTCCAATGCCTCTCGAAGCTCTGGGATTTTCTTACAGTCTGAAGGGATGAGGGGATGTAGGGAGATTTGTTAACAGGGGATGTCCTGCAGATCTTTTAACAATACCTTTCTTTTTTCAATTTGAGTGGTCATCAAGAGATGCGGGTATGGTCTTTCACTCTTATCATGCTACCAAGGGCACTGGCCTAATATGCCAGGACAAGCTGACCACCCTTCCATTAGGGTTCACAGAAGAGCAACTTCCCTGCAGGAATTACCACAGTGACGCAGACAAAAGGGTGGAGAGCTAAAGTCTGTGACAGACTGTGTCAGTGTCCTGCCAGCTCCCCCAGCCCACCTTGACGTCACATGCAGCATTCATAGGAAGTCTCCATCTATACCAGTAGCATCCTGCCCTAAGCACTTGCATCTTTCTACCTGCAGGGACTCTCTGGCCACAGGAGTGCTCTCACCCCACAGGCAGGGCAGGTTGGTGACACAGAAGCTAACCACCCCTGGAGCAATCCTCAACTAAGGAGAGACAAGAGTTGGTAGATAAATACCACAGCTTCCTAGCCACTCTGTGAGACAACTCTACAGCATTCTGCACAGTCTCCCAGAGGTCCCCAGTGGGAGGGGGGCCCAGTTGCCCACAACAGTCACCTGTGCAAAAACACGCCCTGAATTGACTGCCTTCCATTCCGCACTCCCCTGTTCGTGCGTCCTGGGATCAGGTCCCAGATGAACTGTGCACACCTGCATTGTGTCTCGGGACCTGCTCTGAGGGAAGTCCAACTTAGACAAGGGCATCCATCTTGGGCAAGGGCTCTTGTAATCAAGCTCTTTGGGTTGGAGGAAATGGGAGCACTCTGCCCCCACTTCAACCAGAGCCTCACACTTAACTATGCTTCAGACTGGGGCTCTGGGAATGATCTCACCTGCAAGAGGAATCCTGATCCTTAAAAAAAAGAAAGAGGCAATTTCTGAACAAAATTAGTACCAGGTGTGTTTGTTTGTCTGTTTCAAGACTTTTCCTTGAATCACTCTTCAGCTTTCCCTGACCTGTCCACTGGTCACAGCACGAGCTGGCCCACCTCTGAGATCATACTTTCTGGTCACGAGGGCAGACAAAGACTCATACAAACCCGCATCACTGCCGCCTCCACATAGGATGCTTGGGGAGACTCCAGGAACCCAGGCTCCCCCATCCAAAGCTTGTGGCTCCAGTCACGTGGTGCAAACTATTTGGGGGCCATAGTTAGGGAGGTGGAATCTAAAACCAGTGCTCTCTCTCTCCCCACTTGCCCTTTCCACTACAAGGCATGCACCTGGAGCAGGTGGGCCTTATCCTCTGCATTCTGGTTTGGAAAGTGTCTTTTATCACCCATATGGATATGTGTCTATTGAAGGGCTCCATAGTGAATACCTATGTTGGATGGTGGGATGGGCAGCCTGTCCTTTCCTTATCTCGGGGTTCATTCAGATGGAAAGAGACTCGTGCCCAGCTGCTCTGTTGACTCTGCATTCTCTGCCCATTGTACACTGAATCGATTGGACAGGTGTTGGGGGGAGGTGTTGTTTTTCTTCTTTTTCCCCAATCTCCTTATTAGTTCAGCCTCAGAAAGTCCCTTATCACCTCCGGATGTCAGACCACACTCTGCCATCAGGGCTGGCCATATCAGACTCTCCATTAATTGATTTTGCCCTCCCCCTTGGGAAGCATAAATTGGCTCTGCTCATTAGCAACAATAATTCCCTGAAAGAGATTGTAAATTATGCCTTGTGTCCACTCAGAGCTCACAGCAGAGTGGTGCCCACATTGGGAGATGTTGGACTGGGAGGTCTCCGCAGCCCTGCAGTTTTTCTCCTCAACTTGACCAAGTGCTGACCTCACAAGACCACAGTGGACTAGGAAGAGTAGCTTAAACAGGACCTGGCACAGGGAGGGCGCTCAGTCAGTGTGTGAAGAACGAGTCAAGGCAGGACGTGAGGGAGGCAGGATGGGGACTTCCTCTCTGGTGCAGAGAGCTTTGTGGGCCTCTTGAGCTGAGCTCTCCCCCAGAGTCTACCATTACGTTGCCCTTTCTGTGGCTTTTGTAGCCCTGGGGTTTTCAGAAGTCCCCCACTAAACTGAACATGCTTCTGAGAAAGACTCTATCCTACATCTCAGCCAGGTGATGTCTTCTTGGGCTCTGGATTGTTTGTGAAAAACTGATGTAAGAGGGAGATGTGAGGGTGTGACCAGAAGAGAGTAGAGAGGCAGCAGTAAAGAGAAAGAGCCAGGAAAGGCAGGAGGAAGCTGCACTGGCTAACTTTGCCAGAACATGGTAGATTCTCAACAGATAGTCCCAGCACACAGTAGGTTCCCAACAGATAATTCGTAAATGAATGGAGTGTCAGCCCACAGTGAGCCTGTACCACTTCCTGCCCAGGACCTGAGGGAGGAAGGGCACCCTGATGGCTGATTTAGCCCTTCTTCCGTGCAGATAGTCCGTTCTCTTGTCCTTCATTTCCATCCCTCTTAAAACAATCATCATTACTTGTGGGCTGTGTCCAGACTGACTGAAGACACTCAGTGCTACAGAGCTGCTCAGTCCTGCCTGAGACCCTGTAGACATCCATGGATGAGCTTTCTAAATGATACACGACAGAGCTCTCCATGTATTGAGCTACTCCAGGGCAATCAAATAGAGTTTGACTCTCATACTGCCTTTCAGATATAATTCTAACTCTTGCCTAAGGCAGGAGCTGGTGCATCTGTGGTAGAGAGGAGTGCCAGCACTCTGTTGCCCTGTCTGATTCCAGATGCTTTCTTCTCCCTCCAAGATAAGCCCACATCCCAACAAGGTGCTGTCTGAGAAAGCTCTAGGACCAGTTGAGGTGGGGTTTGCACAGAACCACTTCAGAGACCCCCAGAGGGCCTCAGAGGAATCCAGAAGCAGCAGAATTCCAGAGAAGATGGGCTCCATCGCAGCACCCCCAGACAGGGCTGTGCCTAAGTGCCTAAGCCACAGGGCAGACGGAAGGCTGCAGGCTTGTTACTGCCTCGGGACATTCTTAATGAACAGCCCATACAGTGCCGGCTCCACCTCCCCTCACTTCGATTTGTTAGGTTTTTAGCAGAACCCTGTGTTACTACCAGTCTCTTGATCATCCACATACCTGAAAATAATAAATTTCTCCCCCTCGTTTTATCTTCTGCAAGGCCTCTCTCTCTCTCTCTCTCTCTCTCTCTCTCTCTCTCTCTCTCTCTCTCTCTCTCTCTCTCTCTCTCTCTCTCTCTCCCCGCCTCTCTCTCTCTCTCCCTCTCTTTTGTTCTCTCCTCCTTATTACAAAAACAACTGTGGCTTGTCCTGGACAGTCAGGCCACTGTATCTGCCACAGCAGATACGATCGTGGCTACACGTGTGATGCCCCTGTCCCCTAGGCTGGGGCAGGTCAGCTGAGGGAGGCACTTGACCCAAGGACAGGCCATCCTCAGCCCACCAGGCACCTGTAGAGTAGCCACCATGAAAAGGCACTCCTGGGCACTTAGCCCCTCCATAAAGGATTTAAGTCAAGAAATACCAAGAGAAAGAAGCAGAGGACAACGGAGCACATCTGACCGGATTCCAGGAGGGGAGCCCCAAGGCAGAGAAACGGCAGACAGGAAGCACCTGGGGTGAGTGGCGAGCGGTCGAGGCAGGCTGCTGGTAAAAAGCTAGAAGGCTCCGGAACCCTGGCTGCTCCCCGGTTCCCACAGCACAGTCTAATTACCAGAAATACCCGGAGTGTGTTCTGATGCCTTCCAACTCCAATAAGCCTTGAATAGTTTTTGAAAAAGAACTCAGGCGGGACTCAGTGGCTTATGCCTGTAATCCTAGCATTTTGGGAAGCCAAGATCGCCTGAACTCAGGAGTTCAAGACCACCCTGGGAAACATGGTGAAACCCTGTCTCTACTTAAATACAAAAAATTATCCGGGTGTGGTGGTGCACGCCTGTAATCCCAGCTACTAGGGAGGATGAGGCAGGAGAATTGCTTGAGCCCTGGGAGGCAGAGGTTGCAGTGAGCTGAGATTGCACCACTGCCCTCCAGCCTGGGTGGCAGAGTAAGACTCCGTCTCAAAAAACTAAAATTTAAAAAAAAATTCATAATAACAATTGGGAAGTAACAGAATACCTAATAGTGGCTGAAACAAATAAGGTTTATGTTTCTAACATAAAAAGATCTCTAGACAGAGGTGTGCCAGGGAACTGACCTCTCCCTCAGGGACACAAGAAGGCTCAGCAGGTCCAGATAGAAAGAGGGAGAAATGTGGGGCCAGCTGCAGATGAATCCGTTGTCAAGAGACAACAATTTTACCCAAACCTCCACAGCCCACTCTGCCCACTCTGCCCAATCATGGCTGGACCTAGGTCATGCAGCCACCTCCAACTGCAAGGGAGCCTGGGAAATGGGGTGCAGGGGACGCACTGACCTCAGGTCTTCTCCCCAGGCTTTGATGTGTCTTTCTTCCAGTGGCCTAGATTGCACCTGGGACTCTCCTTCAGTGGACTCTCCACAGCCTCCTGGAGCCATCTTGCCTGAGAAATGCACGAGTGACTGACTAATGTGGGGCTAGGAAAGCCCAGCTCCCCTGCTGGGACTCGCTGTGGTTTACTTCACCTGCTGGAGCTCCCAGGAACCAGGCTGAGGCTGGGACTGTGGTGCCTTGTTGGGCTTTCTCCTCGCCCTGACCCTCTTGCACCACTGTGGGTCTGCACTGACTTCACTGCTCTAGGGGCAGAAACAGAGGGGAGGAAGATTAGCACAATGAGCTACCCCAATTATGTTCCATTGCCTGGGGTTGACACTTACAAAGCTGGGGTTCTGCTAGCTGGGAAGGAGGGAAAGGATACTCAGCAAGCAACTCACAGTGTCTGCAGCCACAGCTCATTAAAGGAAACAGCAGAAAACACAGCAGAGAAATCGGAATCCTCGCCTTGTGCTAGTGGGAATATAAAATGATTCAGCCACTTTGGAAAATAGGCTGGCAGTTCCTCAAAAAGTTCAATACAGAGTGGCCAGATAGTACAGAAATTCCACTCCTAGGTATGTACCTGTGAGTAATGCAAACACGTCCACAAAAAAAAAACTCATACACGGAGGTTCATAGCTGCTTTATTCCTAATAGAAGGAAACAGAGACAACCCAAATGTCCATCAACTGGAAATCAAATGGATAAACAAATGTGTTATAGACACACGACAAAATATTATGCAGCCAGAAAGAAGGATGAAGTATCATTATATGTTGCAACAAGGCTGAACCTTGAAGACTTTAAATATACTAAAAACCACTGAAGTGCATAGTTTAAATGTGTGGATGATATGGCATGTGAAATATATCTCAATAAAGCTGCTATACGTGTATGTGAACAAGCATGTGCACACACACATGCAAAGAGAAAGGAAAGCACCCTCAATTTCACCCACTCACAGCTGCTGTTACCATCCTAGGATCAGGATATACTTTAAGTTTCTTTTCAATTCACATGGATATTTCACCGACAAATCCTCTGAAAATAACCCACTAGAGAGCTTCGTTCAAGACAAATTAGCAAAAGCTATAAAGCCGTTGTGTCCAATTTGTCAGCAGAATCAACCCTGACACTCTTACCATCAGGCTGAGCGAGACAATCAGCTATTTACTTTGCCCTGATTTGTCACTCAGTTACTCATCCTGAGGTTCCCCCAATAGGCAGGTCAATTCTCCTGCCCCATTTCGTAGCCAAGGCAACTGAGTAGAAAGTTTATTCACACCCATTCTGATCTCTTCCCAGCTCCTAAGCTGGGGGCTTGCAGCCTTCAAGGGTGAAGATGCTGGGGGCTGCCAAGAGAGCCCACTGGGGCCTGTACAGAGTAAGCACACCTATCCGATTTAGCCCGGAAACATCCATCCAACTTGAAGCCAGACGGAGAGACCTGAAGCACTCAGGAAGACCTGGTAGGTCTCTTTGAAGGGTCCATGATACTGACTTCCATGGAAACAAAGGCCGGGTGGGGGTGGCCGACCTGTTTGCACTCGCAGCACAGCACTTAGTGCAGCCAAGCTGAGCTGCACTGTTCAAACAGTCTTCCCCAGCCTCCAGACACCTGTGCCGAGGAGGAGGGCAGGGCAGGCGGCAGACAGGGCACAGGTCCCCGGGTGCTTTCTCCTCACCTGTTTCCCGCCTCTTCCCCTTAGTCAGCCCCACGGCCCTGGCAGGGTCCTGGCCACACCATGCCTGGTGCTTGGCTCTGCAGCTGCTGGGGTGGCCGGGTGCTGCCACTGCTGTTGGCCTACGTCTGCTATCTGCTGCTTGGTGCCACCATCTTCCAGCTGCTGGAGAAGCAGGCGGAGGCTCAGTCCAGGAATGAGTTTCAGCTGGAGAAGCTGCGCTTCCTGGAGAACTACACCTGCCTGGACCAGTGGGCCCTGGAGCAGTTTGTGCAGGTGAAGGGGAGCGATGTGGGATTAAGATGGAGAGGCTTGAGAAGGCTGGTGGAATGGGGGTTCCTGTGGCAGGTCCAGAGTCCTCACCCAGGGCTGAAGCCTGTTTGGAAGCAGCATGTGGTGGGAACAGAGAGCCTGATGGATCTAGTCCTGGATTCTGGCCCCAGGTCTACCTGGAACAGGTCACTTAACCTCTCTAGACCCAAATGTCCTCATCTATAAGGCAAAGAGAATAACCACATCTAAACTGCAGACAGTTGACAGCAGATTAAAAGCTCTCTCAAAGCTGTCACTTGCTGGATGAATGGGAACCAGATGTCAGTGTTATCAACGCTGTCCAAATTTCCTTCTCCCACTTTCACACTTCCCCTTCCCCAACTCGGGGGCTGCAGCTCCTTCTGCCCTCTCCCCAGCTGCAGGTGGGAGACACAGATAAACGCCGGGAGCGGCCACCAAGCTGGCCTTTCCTGGCCTGTTTGTACCTGGAGCTGGGCTTGGGGGGCAATGGCCAAGGTGACTGAGATTGCCAGCACTGCACCCAAAGAGGGCCCTCTCTTGGTAACAGAGTGGGTCACCCTCTGCCTGGGTCCTCTCTGCTTCTCTCTTTCCCAGAAATAAGGCAAAACCAGGTGTTGTGGGGGAGGTGAGTGACAGCCCGTGCAAAGGAATAGACCAAGTGCAGAATCACTCTATCAATTATCAATTGTCTATTGACAATTGGTATTTACTGGGCATTTACAGTGTGCCTAAACCAGTGGGGAGCAGGGTCATCATGGCCAGCTTCATCCAATCATGATTCACTCACCAAACACTGAGCGTGTTACCAGTGTCTTCTCATAATTACCTATTACAATCCCTATCTCCTGTTTGTAGCTGGGAACTGAGGTAGAATACATTGGCCAAGGCTGCACAGCCACTGGTGGAGACAGCACTCACTCCCAGGCCTCTGGTGCTGGAGCCCTGGGTCTTCACCGTACAAATTAGCACAAGCGCTGGGGCCAGGATGCAGCCTAGAGCAGTAGTTCTCAAAGTATAGCCCCAGGACCAGAATCAGCATCACCTGAGAGCTTGTTAGAAATGCAGGTATCAGGCTGACTCAGGAACTCCAGGATGGGTCCTGCAGGCTGGGTGTCAACAAGCCCTCCAGGCAATGTTGGGCCCCTGAGGACGGAGAACAGCCAGCCTAGAAGACTATCACAGAGAACTTTCTGAAGCTGTGAGAGACCAGGAAATGAGGCCTCCACCTTCAGGTTTTACTCACTTCTCCCTGATGGATAGGGTTAGTCAAAGTTAGGGGTCCATAGTACCTCCGGGGTTGAGAACAGTTTAGGAGCCCCCTTCAAAACCCTGGGAAAGAGGCAGAGGCCATGGAGAAGCTGAAAGGTCCTCCTCCCTCTGCTCTGCATTTGAGGTGAAAGCCAAGCTGAAGGGCATGGGAAGGGTTGGTAGCTGTGATCTGAACTCGCTCTGTAAACCAAGAAGGGAGGCTATCTGCTTGGTTGCAGCCCTGAGGGGTTGCCACTGATTAACCCCAGGGACCTCCCCAGGGAAGACAGGACATCCCTTTCCCTGAGAGTCCTCAGCCTCGGGAGAGATCCTTCCTTGCCGGGGGTAGTTCAGCCAGGCAGCAGAAGAACGCTGGGGTGAGATTCTGGAAGAACACACATTCCTGTTGAACTCCCTGACACACAGGGCGTAACTAGTATTAAAAGCAATATTAAAAATTGCCTCCGTGGGAAAACACTGCTTGCCTAAGTTCACAGAACTGGGAAGGCAGAACCCGCTGCTGCTTGCATCCACGCACAGGCGCTCCGCAACCTCAGCAGGATGAGGGAGGGCTGCAGACCTGGCGGGGTGGGTAGGGAGTGGGAGATGGCCCAGGACTAGAGTACTTGCCCCCAAGAGTGAGGGTCTCCAGAGAGAGAGCCTGTTCAGGAACGTTGGGCCCTGGCCACTTTGTGGGTGTGGGAAAGAGAGGGAGGCCAAAGTCCACATCTTAAGAGGCCGTTCCCATCAAAGTGAGGAGAAGCAGATGGCCTGTGGCCGTGGATACCCTGACTGGCTTGGTCCACCAGGGTCACCCCAGCCCTGATCCAAGCACACCCACCCAGCCAGCGGGAACCTGTTCCCATAGGAGTTGGAAGCCAGAGCTGTTGTGTCCCGGGCTTCCTCCTGCCTTTGGGGCTCTAACAGGTGGCAACGCTGTGCTGCTGCCCTGGGAGAGGATTGGCAGGAGGTGAGGAGAGAGCTCTGCCCATTTTCCAAGGGGCTGGGTCCAGGGACTAGAGGTTGTTGGAGGTGGGGCAGTCGAGGGGAAGGTGTAGGCTTGAGCCTGCAAAGGTTTGGGTTCTGTAAAAACACACGCAACACACACACATAAACATGCACACACGTGCAACACACACATACACATAAATATGCATACATGTGCAACACATACACAAACATGCACACACATGCAACACACATACACAAACATGTATGCATGTATAACACACACATGCACATAAATATGCACATGTGTGCAACACACAAACATGCATACATGTGCAACACACAGATACACATAAACATGCACACACGTGCAACACACACAAACATGCACACACATGCAACACATACACATAAACATGCGCACATGTGCAACACACATAAACATGCACACACGTGCAACACACATACACATAAACATGCACACATGTACAACACACATATACACATAAACATGCACATATGTGCAACACACAGTTGCCATGCACAACACATGCACACACCACACACCACACACACACACTCTCACACACACCACTTTTGTCCTGGCCTCTGTTGGAATTTCTCCCATAGGCAAGAGCCGGGGCTCACTGGAAAGCAGCAAAGAGCAAGGGGGTCCACTCACCTGGACACTTACGGAACACAGGGTTCTCTGTCCCACCGTTAGCTTCATGGCAGGCAGCCCATGGCTTCCCTGTGGTCCCGAAACCCTATGTTCCCCAGCAATGCCTTCCAGACACATCCAACCTGAAACCCTCCCATCGTTCTAACAACCGATATGCCTGCCATCCTTTTGGCCACCAGCAGCATCTCCCACGAGACCCACTTCCTGAGCCTCCTCTACCTTACCCGCCAGGCCCATCTCCCGCCCCAGCCCATGCTTGCAGCCCACACCTCAGTCAGCCCTGGCCAGCGGAACAGATACTGGAGGTGGAGTCCAGTGACCTTGCACAGGCCTCTTAGCCACTCTGAGCCTTCATTTCCTTTTCCATGAAATGAGAACAATACCATCTAAGAGTATCATTAGATGAGATGACACAAAAACACCCGGCCAAGAGCGTGGCACCAATTGGTGCCCAGTAACCATCAGCTCCTTCTTCCCCCTCTTGGCCCCATGTCACCTCCCCACAGGTCATCATGGAAGCCTGGGTGAAAGGTGTGAACCCTAAAGGCAACTCCACCAACCCCAGCAACTGGGACTTTGGCAGCAGTTTCTTCTTCGCAGGCACAGTCGTCACCACCATAGGTAAAGGGCTGGGGTAGAGAAGAGCTTCCCTAAGCCCCCCGTCTTAGTTCGGGATCCCTAAACGCAGATGCTGAGACAAGGATATGGTTTGTCTAGGAGATGATTCAGGAAGCCCAGGGAGGGAGCGGGTAAGTGAAACAGCAGGGAGAGGAAGGCAACGAAATTTGCATTAATGAGCAGATTACTGGCTTAGGTGACTGGGTTCACTTCTGCTTGGGACCTTCTGAGAGGCTATATAGAGCCCATCCTCAGAACAGTCCCATTGAGGGACAAGAAAGAGAGGCCATTTAGCTACCAACCCCTGCCCTCAGAGGTTGAGATCTGGTCTGGACTGTATTCGTTCCCCAGTATTTTGAACCTTCCCATAGACCAAGCACACTCCTTAGACCAGGAGAATCTCTCAGGTAGAGAGATGTGCAGGAACTGGGAACTGGGAACTGGGGTGATTTGTTTACAGCCACTGTCCCCCAAAGCTGCAAGTAGTATCCCGAGTGTTCCAAGAGAACAGGGCAATGAGAGCAGGTGCTATGCCCCCTCAGCCAGAAAACTCACTCCATCCCATCCCAAGGAAGCTGTCAGACCCAGGTCTGCCCCCATCCATTCATTGAAGTCCAATTCCACATACTTTCCTTGAACTCGGGTGACATTCCAGGCAGAGTGATGGAGTTGGGGGTGGGAAATACAAACTTGGATCAGATCCAGGCTCAGGCCTCAAGAAATTTCCAGTCCAACAAAGAGGAACACATTAAGTACACACACACAAACCAATAATAGAAGACAAAGTCAATAATTACATAGCAATGACATCAAACACTGTGGGGAACCACACCCAGTCGGGAGAAGGAGAGTGGCAGAAAGGAGGGCTTCATGGAGGCAGAGTCATTTGAGATGGGCCTCCAAAAAGGAGCAGGAGTCCTATAAATAAAAATATTCCAGCAGAGTTCATGGGAACAGGGGAGCTTCTCCTTCTCACCCCAAGAGGTGGTGGCAGACAAACATTGGCTAGAGTCTGGGGAGGAGGAGCAGAGGGCGTTCTGGAGTCTCCCTTTCTCCATATTTGCACATGCTCCCTCCCCTTGCAGGATATGGGAACCTGGCACCCAGCACAGAAGCAGGTCAGGTCTTCTGTGTCTTCTATGCCCTGCTGGGCATCCCACTCAACGTGATCTTCCTCAACAACCTGGGCACAGGGCTGCGTGCCCACCTGGCCACCATTGAGAGATGGGAGGACCAGCCCAGGCGCTCCCAGGTATGCCCTCTAATTTCCTTACGGGCCTGCTGTGACAGAGCTGTTGCAAGTGGAGTCCTCCAGAAGCCAATGTTGAGATGGAGTTTGACATGCATGGTGTTAGGGGTAGATGCCTATGAAAGAGGAAGGGTGAAGGCAGGGTTGGGCAGAGCACTGAGCTGGATTTCTATGCATGCTCTACAAAGGCTTGGCCTCAAGGAGCTCTGCAGCATGTGTGAGCTGTCAGACTCATCCCACAGTGGGCCAAACCAGCCAGGCTTTCATACCTGCCTCAATCAGGCACTGGGTGTGGCCTTCCTAGGAAGGGTGTGCCCCTGGACCAAGAGGTTCTCTGCAGCTGAGCACCCTGAAGGAGCTGGCAGCTGGCCCACAGTCCTCCTTTGAGTGGGGGATCTCAGCAGCACATCTCCAAGGACATCACAGAACTCCGACATCCTTTTGTGCAGTAGCAAACAAGCTCTGCAGGCCGCCCAGTGGGTCCCCAGTGCCCACCCTTGGCCAGTCGCTTGCAAGGGCAGAGGCATGCAGACTGTTCAATGATACTTTTCTGTCCCAGATCTGAGTCCCCAGGGAGCCTGTTCAAGTGTGATTCCCAAGCCCAAAGGGTCTCCAAGTCACTCCTTGACCCACTAATGCAATCCCTCTGCCCAGATCTTTCCCTGGGTGGGACTAGGTCATGCACAGATAGATACAACCCCCACCTCAAGGGTCTGCAGGGCAGGGAAGGGGTCTAGCTATGGCCCAGTCCCATTCCCATGTTTACCCCAGACTCCCCACAACCTCCTTTCAAGTGGACTCAGGGGCCGACTCCCTCCCTCCCAGCTCCTGCGAGTCCTGGGCCTGGCTCTGTTCCTGACCCTGGGGACGCTGGTCATTCTTATCTTCCCGCCCATGGTATTCAGCCATGTGGAGGGCTGGAGCTTCGGCGAGGGCTTCTACTTTGCTTTCATCACTCTCAGCACCATCGGCTTCGGGGACTACGTTGTTGGTGAGAACAAGACAGTCACATATATGCGGGGGGCGGGACACGGGATGGAGACATGTCAGCTGAGGACAACTATTGAGGATAAGATAGCTCCTGGTCATTCAAAGAAGCCAAACCAGTGATTTCTGGGACTACTGTGGATTCTAAGCAACATCCTCAGAAGTCTCTGGTATAGGACCCATCACCACCCCCCAGAGACCTACCTCCACTGCTTATCCTTGTTTTGAGGAAGTGGGAGAGGGCATTCTGGCTGGTGAAAGTCCCTGTGGAAACTGGAGGTGGCTGTGTCCTGAGACCCCTGGCATTGATGCCATTCTGTTCTCTGACAGGCACAGACCCCAGCAAGCATTATATCTCAGTGTACCGGAGCCTGGCAGCCATCTGGATCCTCCTGGGCCTGGCATGGCTGGCGCTGATCCTCCCACTGGGCCCCCTGCTTCTGCACAGGTGCTGCCAGCTCTGGCTGCTCAGTAGGGGACTCGGCGTCAAGGACGGGGCAGCCCCTGACTCCAGTGGACTCCCCAGACCTCAGAAGATCCCTATTTCTTCATGAGGCCCCTGGTGGCCCCAGAAACCCCTTAATCCTCCCCAGTCCCACCTTATCTGCTCTCTGGATTTCCAGCTCTGTCTCCTCCTCTTCTAACCCCCTCACTTCTCAGCCAGAACTGGTTACAGGAGTTCTCCCAAGAGATAATGGAGAAGGTATGTCCAAGAAAATAACAGAGAGGAGATGTGAGATAGGATTAAAAACATGTATGGATAGAGAGGTGCACCCTTGTCCCAGAGCCCCTGCCACAGCCTTCTACCCAAAGGTAGCTTGGAGGAGTGGCCAGATCTTCACTGCCCTCCCCTTCCGTGAGACCTTACACAAACAAAGGATGACTTCACTTTTGCCTCATTTGATGCCTATACAGTGCATTTGCCAAGTCCCTACTATGTGCCAGGTGCTGTGCCAGGGTCTGGGGATACAGCAGTGGAAGTGCCTGCCCTTGATGTGCCTTTAGGTGCTAGACAAGCAAAGAGGCAGCGCCAACACAGTACCCAAAATGCTATGATGGGAGCAGCCCCACGGTTGATGAGAGCCCATGGGATTGGCTGGCACTCAAAGCTCTCCAGCTCCCCTTGCCTAGAGGTCCAGGGCTGTCCTTGAACAAGGCTTAGGACCTCTTGGGTGTCCCACCCACTTTCCCAGATATGGCCTCCCCTGAGCCTCACAGGCCACCCCCGACCCTCACAGGCCACCCACTTAACTTCATCCCTCCCTTTGGGCTCCTGCCTTCTCAAGGGCCTTTGCAAATACCCCCTGGGAAGCCAGAGAGCCAGCAAAGACCAGAATCCTTCCAGAAAGTGAGCTCAATGAACATCTGGCCTCTCTCAGGAATGCATCCTCCAGGTCTGGCCTTTCCCCTGCCAGATTGCAACGTCCCTGACCAAAAGGAGAGATTTAGACCAATCCATCCCGAGGCCTGGAAACTTTGGCCTCTGCCTTTCCCACTACCCAACAGTAAGTGGGCTCCTACATGGCTGGGTTCCTCTGCACAGGACTGAGGCAAGGCTGTGGAGCCAAGGAGGCTCCAGGCAGGAGACCCAGGGGAGGATCTATAGCAGCAAGAGGAGTCCAAGTCACACCCCAGAACTTCGCCACATCCAAGAGAGAACTGGGAAGCTGAGGACCCATGGACTCTTCACACAGCCTGGACCTTCCTCCACACCGGGTAGAGGGGTTTGGGGGCCTTCTCAGAAGCAAGGAGTGGACAAGCCTCTTGGTCAAGGCTCCTCTTGCCTCCCAAGCTCATGGACAAGTGGCAGTCAGCTGGGGCCCCTCTTTTTGGGTACAAAGGAAAGGACAGAGGTGTGGGACACCCAAGGAGGTCTTGAGATTGACAGACAGCAAGTCCTTGGAGATAGCCCCCAGACCCAGAACTTAGGCAGGGGCCCCAAGACAATAAAGTTGGTCTCTACTATCTCTTCCTCTGAGTGCAGTTTCCAGGAGTCCCTCCCCCTGTTCATTTCAGGAAATGTTAGGGGGCTCCGGGCCCCTTCCCTCAACGCCTGCGGTCACCCAGCAGCTTTCTCTTTCTTCCTGGCCTAAGCCTAGCGGGTGGGCTCTGTGCACACATTTGAGGAGGGGCCAGATGTCCACAGTTCAGAGCCTCTTTTTGACCCTGGGATTGGATCCCAAGGCTGGGTGGGGCCAGGCTGTCCCATTCCCCAGCACTCCTCCTCCCCAAGCACCCGCAGGCGTTTGCGAGAGGAGATACGAGCTGGGCTCCTGGCCCTTTCCTTCCCTGGGTCCTTGTCCGCCGCTCCAGGCTCCAGCTCCCCGCCTCTCCCACTATGTACCGACAGCGAGCCGGTGCGGCTGCCAAGGGCAGGGTCCAGGGCTGCGGCTGCCTGATGTCCAGCACCGTGCTCCTGCTGCTCGCCTACCTGGCTTACCTGGCGCTGGGCACCGGCGTGTTCTGGACGCTGGAGGGCCGCGCGGCGCAGGACTCCAGCCACAGCTTCCAGCGCGACAAGTGGGCGCTGTTGGAGAACTTCACGTGTCTGGACCGCCCAGCGCTGGACTCGCTGATCCGGGTCAGGGACGAGCAGGGTCGGCCCGGGTGCGGCGGGATGGGGTAGGGGGCCGCAGGGTGCACAGGCCGAGGGCGCCCTGGTCAGGGAAACGCTGGGAACCTAGACGCGAGAGCACAACGGGGAAGGGCGTTTCTGCGCTGGGACCAGAGGGTTGGGGACCTCGGAGGAAAAGACCCCCGCTCTAGTGAGAGGACTGCGAAAAGCCGGGCCGAGTCCTCCTTGGGGGTGAGAAGGCATGCTGCCCTGTTGGGAGGCAGATCCAAATTTAGGGGCGAGGACGAGGACTACAGGGAGCGCGCGTCCCCAGCCCCGCCCGGCCTGTCCCGGGAAAGGTCGCCTTGGGCTTGCTGGGCGAAGGACTAAAGGCCACACCTGGCCGCTTCCAGAGGGAGAACCTAGGCGCACGTTTGCTAATTGGGGGCTGGGACGTCAGAGGCGGCGAGTCTAAGGATGCACAGGAGCGCGGGCGCGGGCGCGGCCGTAGGAGCCTGGGGGACGGCGCGTTTCTCTCGGATGGTGGGTGGAATGGGCCGAAGGCGTGCTGGCCGGGGCCACCAGCAACTCAGAGAGGGGGCTTGAGGTGCGCAGACCAGGGTTCGAGACGAGGACGAACTCAGAGCCGCTCGCTGGCTAAACCTGCTTGACTCCGAGGGCTTGGCGCGCCGCCGCCACCGCGCGGATGCCCTCAAGGGCTGAAGGCGGGGTTCGGGGGAGGATGCAGAGGTGACTGAGCAGAGGCTCCTCGAGGGTGGGACTCAGCGAGGCAGAGGAGGCTGAGGAGGGTTCTAGGGGTGGCGCATCTTCCGACTGCAGCGACGCCAGACTGGTAGCTGCTCGATTCGGCGGAGGCATTGATGTCTCGGGCCCTGGCTTGGTTTCCCACCCAGTCCAAGAGCCCAGAATCCAGACACCTGTGCGCCAGCCCAGAATCCCCGCCTTGCAGTCCGGGTGGCTCCTCCACCCAGAGTCTCCAGCCCAAAGCCATTCCCGGAAGGTGGCAGGGAACCGTGCCAGGGTGGGAAGGGACCCAGCATGTAGCGGAAGTAGTGTTCTGAACCCTCGTAGTAGGCGGATTCGGTGAGGTCGGGAGCTAGGCAGGGCCAGGCCTATCTCTACTAAGGACCTAAAGTGCTTCCTCCAGCTCCCCACCTGCAGACTTCTGCAAATACAGCCCAACTGCTGGGCCCTGGTGCCGAGGCTGCCTGCCATTGCCCTTGCAAAGGTGGTGAACTTCAGTTACAAGCAGCCTGGACCCAGGGAGATGACTGTGACGGTGATGATAATAACAGTCAATGCCTCTGTAGCCCTTACTGTGTGCCAAGCACTGTTCCTAGTGCTTTACCTGTATTCACTTGTTTCATTCTCACCTCCCTCACAGGTGGGTACTGTTTTTATCATCCTGTTTCAGAGGTGAAGAAACTGAAGCTCAGAGAGGTTAAATACCAATGCATGGCTACATAGCCAAGCTGGAGCTATTTACCACCAAGAGTACTGCTTCAGTGGGGACCTGTGAATGTGGGTGCTTCCCAGCCAGGCTGTAATCTCTTTGGGCTTTCCCTCCAACTCCCTCCACCACCGTCTCACCCCCTTCCTCAGCCCTCCTGTGGCTTCAGCCATCTCCAGGAATAAGGATGTGGTATCCAGCCCAGATCTTCTCTCTGAGCGCTAGATATGTACATGCAACTTCTCAAATTCCTCAAGGCCAAGAGCAAGAGGTCCTCCTCCTCCCAGCCCTGCTCCTCCATCTGTCCTAAATATCTATTGTCTACCCCATGTCCACACACCCTCACAATCCTCTGCAACATCTCCTTTACTGCCCATACTAAATAGGCCCAGAGGCCTGAGCTTCTGAATATCTCCTCTCTGTTCTTCCTGGACCAGTCCATGCCAGGAGGTAGGCCAGGGCCTATCACTCACCTCTGCAGGAGTCTCTCCCCTCTGGTCCACCCCTTCTATACCGCCAGCTGCCACAGAGCACACAGACCAGATCCTACCTCCCCTTTGCTCAGTGACCTTGGATGAGTCCTGCCACTTTATCCCTGGCATGGCAGAGCCAAGCACAGCTTGGCCTCAATCACTTCTCACCAGTCTCCCTAATCTAGGTCAGGCAGTCTCACCTCCCAGCCTCTGCACTGCTGTCCCATCTACCTTAATGTCCTTCCACCAGAAGCAATTCTACCTGACCCAAAAGAAAGGCCCAGCTAAAACACCACCTCCTCTGAGTCCTCTGCTCCTACCCAAATGAAAATGAACACCCTTCTTCCCCAGAGTCCTACAACGTGATATGCCTAGTAACGATGATGGTAGCAACTGCTATCACCATGTGCCAGGTACTGTTCTAAGTCTATACATAATACCTTAGTTGACCCTCACAACAAGTCTATGAAGTAGGTACTATTTGTATTGCCATTCTACAGGTAAGGACATTGAGACACAGAGAGAAGTTGAGCAATTTGCCCAGGATTGTGTAGCTGCACTGCCTCCTTTATACCCAAAGTGACATTGACTCCATCATATTAGAGTTAATTAGGTTTATCTGAGGGCTGCGGTCATGTCTCTTGTGGTCATATCTCCTAAGGCACCACGAATCATGCCTATCCTAGTGTTTGCTGCAGGAATGGGAGTAAGCAGGGGAGAAAACGACTCCATCCTGACCTAGGCCCTGGGTAAAGGGTGGGGAAGAAGCTGTCCGCATGGTAGCTGATGGTAGCTGCACCTGGTGAGCCCTTAGAAGAGTAGAGTCTTCTGACCCTGGTGGGCTGGGATTGAAGAGTAATTGTGAGGGGTGTGTGTGTGTGTGTGTTATGGGTGCAGGAAATCCATCACCCCACAGAGCCTATTGTGAGGGGTGTGTGTGTGTGTGTGTGTGTGTGTTATGGGTGCAGGAAATCCATCACCCCACAGAGCCTATTGTGAGGGGGGTGTGTGTGTGTGTGTGTGTTATGGGTGCATGAAATCCATCACCCCACAGAGCCTATTGTGAGGGGTGTGTGTGTGTGTGTGTGTGTGTGTGTGTGTTATGGGTGCAGGAAATCCATCACCCCACAGAGCCTGGTGATCACTGCAGCCTCTTCCCCAGGACATCATCCACGCGTACAAAAACGGTGCCAGCCTCCTGAGCAACACCACCAGCATGGGGCGCTGGGAGTTCGTGGGCTCCTTCTTCTTTTCTGTGTCCACCATCACCACTATTGGTAAGGGCGGGATGGGGTCGAGGGAATGGGGTGGGGAAGGAGGCAGGTCTCTGAGAGGCAGCAGGTTGGTTGCCTTTTGGAGGGGTTACCTAGAGCCTCATGACTCCAAGTGCAGTCTGGCTCTCTGACATGGACCCCACCTGGGAGCAGTCTGGGGCCTCACTGCAGACCTGCTCACTCAGCCTCTGCACTCACCCAGGTCCCCGGGGGATTCATATGCACTGCTGGAGTTCGACAAACACTGCTCTAGGGAATTTCTGCCCCACGTGGCCTTTCAGGAAGTAGAGGTCTACCAGTACAGTGAGGAACATGTCTCTGGGCACCACAAGGGTCCCAGTTTCCTCAGCTGAGCCCACCCAACATTGAGCCCTTGGGGTGGTGGTCAGGAGAAGTCGTGGGGGTGGGGGTATATTAGGAAGGAAGAAGGAGTAGAAATCCAAAGAAAGGGCTGGGTGCTGTGGCTCAAGCCTGTAATCCCAGCACTTTTGGAGGCTGAGGTGGGCTGATCACCTGAGGTCGGGGATTCGAGACCAGTCTGACCAACATGGAGAAACCCTGTCTCTACTAAAAATACAAAATTAGCCAGGTGTGGTGGCACATGCCTGTAATCCCACTAGTCGGGAGGCTGAGGCAGGAGAATCGCTTGAACCTGGGAAGCGGAGACTGTGGTGAACCAAGACCACACCATTGCACTCTAGCCTGGGCAACAAGAGTGAAACTCCGTCTCAAAAAAGAAAGAAAGAAAAAGAAAAAGAAATCCAATGAAAGAGCTTTAGATCTCCCTGTTTTTTGGCCCTCGGGGAGATTAAAGGAACCCCAGACCCGGGATTAAATGGCTATCGGGGAGATAGCCATTCTTCCTATGTCTCCAGACCCCATTCCCACAGGCCTCTCTTCAGCTTGCAAACAGCCCCCTCCACTCCTCATCGCCATGCTCCCCACACACAGGGACACCTGGGCTAACCCTGCCCTGCGGAAGAGCTGAGGTAGAGTTTGTCTTAGGAGGGTGCTGAGGGGCTGGTGTGCAGAGAAGAAGAGCAGGCTAGACCCCTGCAGCTCTGAAACCCGGGAAATTATGCACGTTGGGCCACCCAGATCCTTCTGCCCTAACCCCTGCATGACACAGAACATGCCACCAGGTGGCAGGCTGATATCACCCGTGACTTGGGCTATGTTCTCCCAGCTCCTGGCCAGCCAAGATCCTCTCTCCAGGACACCAGTATCCCAGCCTCCCTGCAGGGTGGGGTAAGGCAAGAGCACCCAGAGGATTCTCCATCTAGTTTTAAATTGTCCAGTACTTCTTGGAGGCAGACCTCAGGGCTACATGGGAGCTTGGGCAATCCCTGAAGCATGCTTGGGCGGCACCTCAGATTCCATGGGCCTTGAGCCCCTGAAGGACTGGCAGTATAGGCCCATTCATCATTTACGTCCCCAGGGTCTATTACAAGGCCCAGCATACAGCAGGTGCTCAATAAATACTGCCACATTAAGGAGTCCCATTAAATATGCTTTTACCCAGCGTGTATTGAGTTCCAGGGTGGCAGATTTTAAAGCACAGTCACCATAGGCCAGGCTTCCCGGGTCTGGGGTTCCTTTAATCTGAAAACCCCACACTTCCCACACTCTTCCCCAGGCCTGTGGCTTTGGTCCATCAAATTCAGAGTTTTCCACCTCTCTTCCCAGCTCTACCACTCCTAGCCTGGATTATGCCTCTGTCCTTTCCACTCCACTCAGTTTCAGCCGGCTGTGAGAGTGATGAGGGCAGAGAGAGGAGGGCCCTTTCCCACCCCCCCCACCCCCCCGACGCAGTACACCTGAGGAAACACCTGAGGTCTTTTTGTACTAGGCACTGTGCTGGGCACTTTGCCATTTAAGATTTCAACTTGTCATATGGCAACTCCCGAGGATAGGTCTTGTTAGTTTATTTATTTATTTTATTTTATTTTTTGTAGCAGAGTCTCTCTCTGTAGCCCAGGCTGGAGTGCAGTGGCATGATCTCAGCTCACTGCAACCTCGACCTCCCAGGTTTAAGAGATTCTCCTGCCTCAGACTCCCCAGTGGCTGGGATTACAGGCGCCCACCACCACGCCCAGCTAATTTTTGTACTTTTAGTAGAGACAGGGTTTTGTTACGTTGGCCAGGCTGGCCTCAAACTCCTGACTCAAGCGATTCACCCACTTCAGCCTTCCAAAATGTTGGGATTCAGGAGTGAGCCACTGGGCCTGGCCTATTTTCATGTCACAGATAGTGACACAGTGGCACAAAGATGTTGCCCAATCTCCCCCAGTCATACGGCTAGTGAGCAGCAGAGTTGTCTAGCCATTGTGAAGTGAACAGGAGGGGAGGGACGAGGATTCGGTCCTGTGACGCGGACCTCACCTGTATGCATGTACACACGGGGGGAATTCAGAGAGAGAAGGGGAGGCAGATGGGAGATGAGGTTCATCTGGAATGCCACAAGGGAAGAAGGGGCACAGAGGAGGGCAGCCTCCTCAGCAACCCCGTTGCCCTGGGACCAGAACCCTCTAAGGGCAGTACTTTCCAAGCCCTAACACAAATAGTCTGGGTCAGTAGGACAGGCCTGAGCCCAGAAATCACTCACCGTCTATGAACTCCATTCCTGGCCTGCTCATTGGTTCTTTCATTTATTCATCCATTTGTTCAAGAAATAAATTGAAGGCCAGGCACAGTGGCTAATGCCTGTAATTCCAGCACTTTGGGAGGCCGAGGCCGGTGGATCACATGAGGCCAGGAATTCGAGACCAGCGGGGCCAACATGGTGAAACCCCATCTCTACTAAAAATACAAAAATTAGCCAGAAGCAGTGGCGGGTGCCTGTAGTCCCAGCTACTTGTGAGACTGAGGCATCAGAATCGCTTGAGCCTGGGAGGCGGAGGTTGCAGTGAGCTAAGAGCATGCCACTGCACTCCAGCCTGGGCAATTGAGCAAGACTCTGTCTCAAAAAAATAACTAAGTAAATAAATATAAATAAATAAGTAAATTGGGTACCTAGTGTGGGCCGGACACTGGCACTGAGAATGCAATGGTAACCAAAATTAGCAAGTCCCTGCCTTTGGGGAGCTGACATTCCAGTGTGAGGAGACACACAGTAAACACACGCATGGACAATAGTCAGGTAGTGGGGTGTGCTTAGAGAAAAGTAAAACTAGTTGAAAGGGTCTCATAGTGAGGGGGACACCTATTGTAGGTGGGGTGGCCATTCAAGGACTTGCTGATACAGTAACATTGAAGCAGAGACATGAGTCAAATGATGGAGCAAATTGCAGCTATCTGAGGACAGAACCCTCTGCCAGCGAATGCAAAGGCCCTGAGGTGGGAGTGTGACTTATGTGTTTGGAGGGCAGTAGGGAGGTCCAGGTCGGTGGAGAGGGTTGGAGCTGCATTTGGAGAGAGTACAGACGAGCCCAATCTTAGATGGATTTGTAGGGTCCTTGCAGGATGCGCAGAGATCCCAGCAAGGTCAAAGATGGCAGTCAGGAGACGTGCTGAAGTGAGAGGCGGCTTGGATGGGGCCGTGGCTACCCAGTGTTCAACCCGGAGGTTCACTGACATCCGCTGTCATTAGATGATGGTCTAATCAGGTTTGCTTTTTAGTAAGACGAGACAGTGGTGGTGATCAAGAAGGGTGGAGGCAGGGATGGAGGAGAAAAGAATGTCCAAGGGGATAGAGTCTTTTTTGAACATCTTTTCCTTCCCTAGCTTCCCCCTTCCCTATCTTCATGATCAGAGACCCCCAACTTCTACCTCCCCTAGGCAGCTGATGACTCACCATCTGTCCCTCCCTCCCACTGAGACTTATGAGAGAGTCCATTGTGCTAGTTTGGGTCTTCCAGGAATCAGATATCAAGACAGAAGTAGATGCACCAGAGCTATATTGAGAAGAGCCTTTGAAGGATAAAAGAGAAGGAGCAGGAATTAATGGCAAAAGCCTCAGACTGCAAGCAGGCCTGATACCTGTAAAAGGTGGGAGGGAAGGGAGGAGACTGGAGTGGGAAGAGCTGCTCACTGCAGTGCAACTGTGAGAAAGTCTGGGCCAGGCCACGGGGATCCCCGAGCAAAAGTTGCCTGCAAAAGGAGTGCTGCACTGGACAGGGATGGCCAGCTTCAGTGCCCTGCTGTGTCCAGGCATGGCTGGGAGTGGCATGGAGACAGCATGGCCTCAGCCTGAATGGTGCAGTAGATCCTGAGAGTGCAGCAGCTGGAGTCTCTGCACCCTCCAGCATCCCTCTGCCCATCCAGAGAGGGAGGACCCCAAGAGAGGAGGAGGAGACTCACATTTGGTGGATTTCAACTAGTGCATGCAGCTTAGCTTCCTAGAGCTTCTCCAGACTGTAGAATATGGCACATAATTCTGATTTAGAAGGATGGTTTCAAGAGTGAACTAAGGGAATGAATATACAGGGCACCCTGCACAGTGCCCAGCATGGAAAAGGAGGGCCTTGGTAAGTATCAGCTGCTCACATCTGCAGTGGGTTAGAATGAGGGCCCTAGGGGTCAGGCCCAGGAATGGGGCTGTGGTGGCAAGTGGACAGGGCTGTGCTGAAAAGATCCCCTGAGTATCCCTCTCACCTCAGGCTATGGCAATCTGAGCCCCAACACAATGGCTGCCCGCCTCTTCTGCATCTTCTTTGCCCTCGTGGGGATCCCGCTCAACCTCGTGGTGCTCAACCGACTGGGGCATCTCATGCAGCAGGGAGTAGACCACTGTGCCAGCAGGCTGGGGGTCACCTGGCAGGTGAGGAGACTGCTGGACAGGGGGATGGGTCACTTCTAGAATGAGGGGCTGCGGTGGGAATTGGGGTTACTAGTGACAAGAGGTGGGAGCAGGGGTTACTGGTGGGGATGTGATGGGATCGGGGGTCACTGCCCAGAATAGGATCCTCAGTGGTGGAGACAGGGTGGGACTGGGAAGACAGGAAGGACATGAGGTACAGGCACCAGGCAGGGAACCTGGAGAATGCAGACCAAGTGAAGAGCCCTCTCAGCTCCCAAGCATGGGGTGAAGGCCACAGGAGGCCTGGGGATGCTGTTGCACCTACAGGACCCGGGCAAGGCACAGTGGCTGGCGGGCTCTGGCGCCCTCCTCTCGGGCCTCCTGCTCTTCCTGCTGCTGCCGCCACTGCTCTTCTCCCACATGGAGGGCTGGAGCTACATGGAGGGCTTCTACTTCTCCTTCATCACCCTCAGCACTGTGGGCTTCGGCGACTATGTGATTGGTGAGAGTTCCCAGTGGGCGGTCGGGCGGGGAGATTGGGCTGCCTGCACCTCTCACTCATCTGTTCCCGCAGCTGGGGCACCTGCTGTGTGCTTGCCATGTGGGGGCTTTTAGGCCCAAAGTCTGGAGACACTGTCCTACCCACCTTTGTTGTGTGATGGGGCTGAGGTCACTCCTACCCTCCTTGACCAGCGATGAGAGGTCCTCACATGTCCTGGAGCCCACCTGTTGTGCTGAGAGCTCTCCACACGAAGGGAGTCCCCGCCTCCCTCCCCAGTCCATTCCATCCTTCCCCTTTCCCCACTTCACTCCATTCCCTTCCCCACTTCACTCTGTTCCCATGGAATGCCAATCGGTCCCATTGCTCCTGGGCTGGAGGGCACAGTCCTTGGGGATCTAGCAATAGACTTTGGGAGACTCCTGGAACTCCAGCCGCCCCAGAGCCCTATGGGCAAACACTTGGCAGGCAGATTCTGAGTGCCAGCAAGAAAGGGCCTCATGGTCATTGGACCTACGGTGGGTTTAATCAATGGCACTACCCCTCCTAGACAAGACACAGGCCCCAGAAGCCACCAGCCTTGCATAAGCAGGCTGAGTCCAATGCCCAGCAGGTGGCAGTAGAGGGATATTCTGTGCAGTGGCGGAGTGGCTGCGCCCCAGCTCAGCCTCATCACTGCCCCTCCCCGTCCCTGAAGGTGCCGCTGGCACCACCACTGCGCCAGCCTCGAGGGGCTTTGTGCCCTCCCTCTGATCCCCGGCTCTGGGGAGGAGGCCTTGCCCTTCTTCACTCGTTCACCACAGAACCAAGTCTGGAAGAATGAAGTTTTACCAACGTCACAATCAGCTCACTCCTCAGGCAACCTAGGCCAACAACTGTCACCCCCATTATCCCGAGGAAGAAACTGAAGCTCAGAGAGGCTGAGCCATGTGCCCGAGATTGCACAGCTAGTGAGATGTGAATCCTCATCTATTTGACTCCAAAATTCATATGCTTTCCAGACCACCTAAAGTGTCTCTTCTCTGGGCCTCGGTGTTCCTGCCTGTAAAATGAGGTGATCCCTAGAGCCCCTCGGTGCCTTCTAGCCTCTGTTTGCAATGTCCCCAGGAAGAGGGGTCTCATGTTGGGGCCTCACACTGCCCCCTTCTTGATTTCCCTCATCCTAGGAAGTCTGTTGCTCTGGAAGGAAATTCTTGGGAAGATTTCTTACAACTGGGTCATGTTCCCACCTTTACCCTCAGAGTAGAGAGATGTGTCTAAGGACTGAGCCCAGAAGCTCCAAGAGCCATACCTGCACCCTTGCAACTCAGAGTATGATTCTTACATCTGTCATTTCTTCTCTATTTCTGCTGCCATTTCCCTGGTCCAGGGAGGGTTGTTGCATACAGCTGCACAGGATGGGCACTGCACAATACTATGGTTTTGCTACTCACACACAGCATAGTAAGGATGGCACCCATGCAGTTGTGCAACCTCTCTCCTTGACCCCTATTGACCCTTATGACCTTTAAAAATTACAAAGACTATGATGTCACCTGCCCAACTCCTCTGAAGCCCTTCATTGTTTTCCCGTATTTTTAGGATAAAGTCCAAAATCTATAGCCCCCTCTCTCCTACCAATACAACCTGACTGAGGAGACCCGGTCCAAATGTTAAGCCCAGTGGGGGGTCCCCAGGCCTGAGGCACAGATAGGCAAGACCACTGCTGCCTAGCGGCCACTGCAATTAGCAGAGCTGACCCCGCTTCACCACATCTCTGGAGATTTGCTACCTCCTGGGCCCCTCTGCAGCCATGGCAGTGCCTCATAGCAAGTCACCACAATGTGAGCCCCAACTGCTTCACCTGCAAGGGATCTTCCTTATACAGAAGGAAACACTGAGGCCTGCGGGAGGGAAGGGAGTTGCATAAGGTCACAGAGCAAGTGAATCAGGGCCATTCTAGGACAAACTTCCGAGCCTGGGCCTGTCACATCACCTATACTTCGGAGTCTTCCGTGCCTATTCCTCAAATCTCTCAGCTGTCCTTGTCCTCCAGCAACAGGGACAAGCCCTTTCTTGGATGGGGGTACTGAGGTCCACCACTTGGCTACTGGGTGTTCAGCGTCCCTGCATCAGCAGCCACAAGAGGGGCTGTCTTCACAGCCACTCCTCTGCCCGAAGGCTGTGGCCAGAGCCGCCCCCAGGTCCCGGCCGGCTGCTCCTCTCCGGCTCCCAGAGACCTCGCACCTCCCAATTGCATTTGCAGCTCCGTTGAGCGCCTTGCCAGCTGCCAGGTCTCCTGCCACTTATGATTTCAGCTCACAAAAATGGAATAAAAAGGGAGAAGATCACCTCCTCCCCTCTGTCGCCAGGAGCAAGCCAAGCTGGCGGGTGGCAGGGCCAGAGAGCCGGCTCACTGCCTGATCTCATTTGGGACCGTCAGCGGAATCATGGCCCCATAACCCAATCAGCCTAATCCAATCCCAGCTGCTGCCAGGCAGCAGAGGTCAGCTCCCAGGCGGCAACCTCACCCCCATGTAGGGGGTCCTAGAGAGGGGGCCCAGCCTTGGGGGACCTGGAGAGAGAGGCTGTCTTGGGGCCAGCAAGACAGGATGAGGAGTAGACAGAGGCATGGCACAGGGAACAAAGACAGAAAAGGATGTGGAAGAAATAGAAGGGGACATCTCTACCCTTTGAATGATTCCACTCTGATGAGGGAGGCAAAGCAGACCTCCAGGGAGGGAACTAAATGATAGAGCAAGTCCTTGGCAAGATTCATCCAAGACTCACAGCAGCTCCCATGAGTCCTTGCCCTTGGCCATTACTTACCCAGCACCAGCTTCTTAGGGGGTGTCTGGTGGTGAGTGAAACAAGCAACCGCCTACAGGTCTTGGGCACCTGTTATGTGCCCGGCACCATTCTGAGCCCTTGAGCTGCATGAGCCTGTGTGATCCTCCCAACATTCATCAGAGGGGACTCTTACTGTCTGCATTTTATAAATGAGGAAATAACTTTCCCAGCAGATGCACATGGGCCATGTGTTAACAGAGGAACCCAATGTGGTCCATAGGGAGCAATGTCTGAACAGAGGTTTGCAGGATGAGGGAAGGTAACCAGGCCGAGAAAAATGGAAAATTGAAGAGCATTTGGAGCTGGGAGGCCACAAGTACAAAGGCCCAGACTCAAGAAGAATGAATGATAGATGGAGAAATGGGAAGAAGACCAGAATGGCCAGGCAGTCAGAGGGGAGAGGTGTATTGCAGACACGGGCAGAGGGCCTTGAGGATTTGGACTTCATCCCAAAAGTCAAAGGGGCACAGTCATACTCCCCTTCTCACAGGCAAAGGAGGTTCAGACAGGTGACTGGAGAACTGAAGCAGAATACACATTCCAGTGGTTCCCTTATTCTTCCCAAATCCCCTGACTCCAGCAAGCTGCCTCCTTTCAGATATGAGAAAACTAAGCAGCCCAGCAGACAATAGGGTGGACATCAGAATCCCCTGGAGTCTTGTTAAAATGCAGATTGATGGGCCTACCCTTAAAATTTCTGATCCAGTAGGCTGGGGGTAGGGGCCCCATCATTTGCGTTTCCACCAAGCTCTCAGGGATGCTGATGCTGCTGCCCCCAGGGACCACACTTTGAGAACTGCTAGGATGAAGCGTAGACAGATTCCCTCAGAAAGACAAAGAGGAAACATAGCTCCCAAACCTGAGCACCAATCCAGGGAGGCGCTGTGGAATCCTTTGGAGGTGACCATGAATCTAGGAATCTCCATGCTCTGTCCCACTAACCCCTAAACTTGCTCAGATGAATCAAACCCTGTATCTCTGTTTCTGCTTGGGGAATGTGGTCCTGACTTTCCCAGGCCTCCCCTCTGACCTTGCGTCTTCCCCAGGGATGAACCCCTCCCAGAGGTACCCGCTGTGGTACAAGAACATGGTGTCCCTGTGGATCCTCTTTGGGATGGCATGGCAGGCCCTGATCATCAAACTCATCCTCTCCCAGCTGGAGATGCCAGGGCGGGTGTGTTCCTGCTACCGCCACAGCTCCGAGGAAGACTTCAAGTCCCAAAGCTGGAGACAGGGCCCAGACAGGGAGCCAGTGTCCCCCTCCCCACAGCAAGGATGCTATCCAGAGGAACCTATGGAAATCATACGGCATCTGGAACCTTCTGCTCAGGTTGTAGGCGGTGGCAAACATAGCTAATTACACTCCATTCTTTGTTTGGTATTCCTCCTCAGTAGCAAGACCCCTGATTTTAAGCTTGGCATATATCCTCCCAAACTAAAGACTACATTTTCCATCCACCCTTGAGGCTAGATGCAGCTATATGATTAAATTCTGCCCAATAGGATATGCAGAGACATTCCCTGGGTGACATGGATGTGACTTTCAGGTGGGGGAAGCCATGCCCTCCTTCCTCACTTCCTTACTTTAGCTGCCTGCAATGCCGGTATGTGGCTGGAGCTCTGGCAGCCATCCAGCACCGTGAAGTAGAGGCATAGCTGGAGGTTGGTAGCACAATAAGATAGGAAGAGTTTGGATCTCTGATGATCACAGAGCCATTCTAACAAACCTGGACAGAATATCCCCAGACCTCCTTTATGTGAGAGAGAAATAAACATCTACTTTGAAACACCATTATTTGGGTTTTTCTGTCGTTCATAACCAAATCTAATTCTGAGTATACCCAGAGACAAAGGCAGCATCTGAGACTGCAGCTGACACAGAGAGAAGCTACCCTCTCCCCAGGCGAGTTTGTCCAGGGCTGGTGGCAAGAATGGATTGAAGGTTGGACTGCCAGCACCTTATACCTTCAGTTTACCAGCTGAACTCGGTAAAGATTTGCAGGCAGCTGGTCTCAGTCTAGCTGCTGAATCCTTACTCTGTGGCTCATTCACATCAAAGAAAAGCCAGGGGCAAGCCAATGGGCTCCTCCTGCCCCACCCTAGCCCACTGCATTTGAAGGCTCCACAGAGCCAGGTAGAGTTTGCAAAGGCTACTTCTGTTTGCAGAGCATCACTGAGGATTGCTACTAAGGCAGCACCATGGTTCCCACCATACACACGTATAAGCCCAGCCAGGAGCTCCTGGCAGTACCAGCTACCACCTGAGGTCACCTGGGGCAGCTGGGCTGTTGGCTTCAGTGGGCACCTGTGATTCCATTCCCTCCACCCATCTTTTGGGTGGCATCCCAGGGACCCTGCGAGTTCCATGTGGTCCCTCCCTGTGACCATCTTGGAACTGGGTCAGGGCCAGCCTTCTGGCCAAGGAAGGAGTAAAGGCTGTTACACCATCTCACTTGGCCATCCATCCATCCACTTGTGTGGACCAAGGCCAGACCCAGGAGCAGCATCAGAGAGTAAACAACAGGGCCATGCCCACTTCCTAAGGCCCGCAGGCTGGACAGAGGAAAACAGAGGGGAGGAAGAGATTGCTGAAGTGGCGTGCTTTATACTTAACACACTCCAGAAAGCGGTCCTGGCGATTCAAAACTGTTCCTCCTGGGAGGAAGGAGCAGGCTAGAGTGCTGGGTTGGGCACTGTGGTCCCAACTCAGTCTTACCTTGGACCTCTTTGTCCTCATGCCTGACCTCACTGGACTCTCCCACCAAGCCTTCATTCCCATGCCCAGACCTACCCTCATGCAATGCTTGCCCCAGAAGGAGCCAGCCTAGGCTACCGTGGTGCCCACAGGAAGGCTCCTTCTTGGCCAGGTCCTTGTCTGCTTCACAGCCAATGAAAAGAGTAGCTGGAACTCTGAAGTCTACTCCCAGGAAGTGGGAGAGGAGTGGGGAGGGGACAAAGGTGAATAAGGTAGGGACGGGGATGTTAAGCCATATTGGTAGCCACCTGGAGAGGTCTGTATGTGGGAAAGGTACAAAAACAGAGTATGAGACCTCAGTTCAGAAATCACAGAGTCTAATGGACAGTGAGGCCACAAGCGAGAAGGAGGGGAAGAAGGAGTGACGACGACACGATGAACGCAGGTTGGGAAAAGTTGCACAGTATGCGGTAAGGAACTCGTTGCTTCTCTCCAGCTCGTCCAGGCCACCCAAGGCCTGGAGGAGGAGAGAAAAGGGTGCCCTCAGAGCGTGGCCCCTGAGGGTGCTGAGTTTGGAGCCAGCTGCTTGTGTTGAAATCCTGGTGCCACTGCTTGCCGGCTCTGTGACCCTGGGCAAATCTTGCATCTGCAATTCGTTTCCTCTGCAACACAAAGATAAGAGCAGCTTCGATCTAGTAACTGTGTGCACCAAGGACGGAGTATGTCAGCCCCGGGGAGGCGCCACGTGCATTTCAGCTGTCATCATCATTCTTGGCCAGACTGAGTGGACCAGAACAGGAAGAAAGCAGATGCTCTGCAGGGCAGTGGCTATGAAGCAGGCAGTACCTTGGCTGACCCCCTCTCAGGGCCGGCCAGGCAGGCAGGCTGAGCAAGCAGTGACGCAGGATGGGGCCCTGCCCTTGGGGGGCTCCCAGGCTGATACCATTGCTTTTCTGGCCAGGATAAGGCAAGTGGACACGCGTGACTCACAGGGAGCCTCAAGGCGGAGACTGGGAAGTGAGTGCCGAGTGTGCAAATGTAGCACCCGGGGACTGCCCACTGAGGGTCCCACCATGCCGGTAACAGGCAGATCTCTAGCCCCTGGGGCCACCTCTGCCCTCCCTCCCTGACCAGTGAGGCAAGATCAGACTCAACATCACTGGGTGGTCCCCCTTAAAACAGTATCATCTTTTATTCTTATTGTCATTATATATTATTGTTATTATTATTAACTGTTAGCATATATCAGATGCTTATGTGCCAAGCGCTGCTCAAGCTCTTTACTTGCAGTAAGTGATTTACTCCTCCCATCGACTTTGTAAGAAAAGAACTGTTATTTGTAATGCTGTTTTATCAAAGGGAAACGAGACGCTCAGTGGATGCTAAGAAGGAAGGTAGCCACCCGTTCCCATGGGTTGTCACAGGAGTTGTCGCTGGTCCTCTGCAAGGGATAAGTTCCCCTGGCCAGAGAGGCAGGGACATTCTTCCTTTAACCCCTGTGTGATCTCAGCCAGCCACTCCCCTTTCTGTGCCTCAGTTTCCTCACCTATAAGAGAGGGGGCTGGCATCAGGGAGTCTGACTCTTTCTACTTCTACTGCCTCCACCTTGGACAAGATTGTTGTAATTAACGTGTTTCAGAAGGGCAGTTCCCAGCCCCACCCATCTCAATCCTCCTGGGTCTGTGTTAAGCATTTGGATCCAAGGAAGGAAGTCTCTCTCTTTCTCTTGTCTCTGTATCTGTGTCTCTGTCTTTCTCAGATACACACATACACACACACTCACAATATCTGGAGGCAAAGAGAAGAGGAAATCTGCACAAAATTCCGCAGTCCCTGAACCCCTCCCTCGTGGCCTCTCCAATGCTGAAGTCCTAGCTGGGGGAAGGGCATCCATTCACTTCAGGAGCCAGACCAGACAAAGAAGGACTTGACTGTGGAAGCCAGAGGACTCCCACGTCAGGGACAACAGCTATGCTGAGACTCCTATCTCCAGTTCCATCAGCCCTTTCTTCATCCAGCAGCACCCCTGGGCTCTAGGCCTGGAGTGTACTGCCCTGAAGCAGGCCCCACTGACCTGCGTCCTCCACCCTCCCTAAACCACCACAGTGCTGGTCTCCACCCATGCTGCCGTCCCCAGGCCTCCCATTCCACTGTCTGCCCCCAGCCACCACACACAGTGCTGGTCCCAGACTTAGCCTCACTGATGCTATCTCCCACTCCCCAGGAGGCAAGGCTGGATCCTGCATCTCCTAACGCTCCTTTGCCCCTTGCCAGCCAAAACTCATCCCCAGCTAAAGTTGTTCCTCAGGGCCAAGGAGATAACCCCACCCTTCCCCAAGGCCTTCCTAGGGACTTTCCCAAGATTTTCAGTCCCTCCAGTCACAAAACTTCTCTCAACCTAAAGGATGCCATATCAGCCCACAGCCTGACAGCAGGAAGAGCAACCAGAGTTGGGTACCTCCCACCCTGTGACCCGCTCCCCACACCCCAGCAGCACAACTTCCAGATGTGTGAATGCAAAACCGTCCAGACCCTTTCCCACAGCCACGGATGGAGCCCTCTTCCCCCTCCTTCCCCACAGGTTTAGGACCCTGTTCAGCTTTTGCCCACACTCCAAGCATTCCACATCTTTATAAACCTTCATGTGTTCTTTCCTGGACTCGGGCAGATGCATGTCTATATGCTGACTCTGTGCCTTGCTGTTTGACACCTGAGAGGTCACATAACCTCTCTGAACCTCAGTCCCCCATCCATAAAATGAAAAGCCTAATTCCAACCTCAGGATTGTTTTGATCAGTGTGGAAGAAGGGAGGTGGGAGAGTCAGTAACAGAAGAGAAAGCATCCATGTCCTACCTTATACTTAATAGTGCTCGAAAATATTTATGCCCCTTCTTTTTTCCTCCTCTTGGTCTCAAGCTCCTCTTCCTCTGCTCTCTTTCATCAGGAAGCTCATGAAGCCCAACTGTACCTTTTCCTCCAAGAAGTCCTCCTGGACCTGCCTACCTTTTAGTCTCCAATGGACTTGGGAGGGGCAGGGAATGATGTGGGGATGGAAGGAATACATTTTTCAAGGCTCTGTTTTGAAGGGGGCGGCTCTAAGGGTCTCTAAGGGTCAGGCTATTGTCCTGGAGGCTTGAGGCCAGAGGAGAGGGTGAGTCCTCAGCACCGCTTTCTAGGTGTTACTCTGTCTTGGCTCCCTCTCTCCACCCACTCTGTGACTTTCTCTAAACCCCTGAACACCATGCACTGTGTCACCAGGCTCCTTCTGTCTTTGACTTCCAGTTTGATCAGGCCCGGGAGGGGTCATGATGGAGGGCAGGAGGAGAGAGAAGCAAGGGTTTTATCAGCCCTCTCTCTGCAGGCCATGGCTTTGGCAGTGGCTGCACTCCCAGGGTCCTGGCATCAGCTGGATGAAGTCATAGCATCACCCTTGCCCTTCAGCCCCAGGGTAGTAACGACTCCCCACTGTTGCTGATGACTGGGAGCCATACCGTCTCATGCCCATGGACCTGCCCACACTCTACACATAGTTTCTTCATTACAGGCTCTTCAATGGGCCCCTGGAAAGTGCCGTCTGTGCCCAGCAAGGGCAGGACTGATCCCAACACCCAGTTCATCAATCTTTTGCTCTTTCCCTGCAGCCCACTGGTGAAAGGGGCTCAAAGTACTGAATTACAACCATGGAAGAATCAATCCAGCCACCCTGACTAGGGAGTGACTTCCTCTGAGTGATGGCAAGAGGGTGGAGACCCAGGCAGGAGGCCAGGGAGACCCTGTCACCCTTGCCTGTGGGGATAGCGGCACAAGGCAAGGAACAGAAGCTCCCCCAAGCTGTGTTATTGGGCTTGCAGAGAAGTCGGGCAGGAAGGTATAGACCATGTCCCTCACAGGGAGCTCCTTCATCAGACTGGGGGCTCGATGGCATCAGAAACAATGCCTCCCTCATCTGACTAGGTGCTCCCTACATGCAAGGGCTGTGCCTAACTCATCTTTTCCCTATATCCCCAATGTCTAACTCCTCAGTGCAAAACTTAGAGACACAAAAATGGATAAAATGCGATCTCTGCCATCTTGTAGGGAAGGAGACTCACGTAAA